GCTACTTATACCCGTGTGCAGCTAAGCGTCTTATTTGTAGGCATGAATATCGAGCATTGAGGACACGTATATTATTGCATCAATACTCCAATATCAATTGTTGAAAACTCTATTGCAATACAGTAACAAGACACAAATGAGATACTATTACAATAGGGTTATCAGGATGCTACTTTAAAATGGTTAGATACACTATTGGGAAGCTATTTCAATGTAGTAACAAGACACACATGAGATACTATTGCAATAAGGTTATCAGGATGTTACTTTAAAATGGTTAGATACACTATTGGGAAGCTATTACAATGTAGTAACAAGACACACATGATATACTATTGCAATAAGGTTATCAGGATGTTAACAAAAATGGATAGATACACTAATTATCAGGAAGTTACTTTAAAATGGTTAGATACACTAATTGGGAAGATTACAATGTAGTAACAAGATACCATTGCAATAAGGTTATCAGGATGTTACTTTAAAATGGTTAGATACACTATTGGGAAGCTATTACAATGTAGTAACAAGACACAAATGAGATACTATTGCAATAAGGTTATCAGGATGTTACTTTAAAATGGTTAGATACACTATTGGGAAGCTATTACAATGTAGTAACAAGACACACATGAGATACTATTGCAATAAGGTTATCAGGATGTTACTTTAAAATGGTTAGATACACTATTGGGAAGCTATTACAATATAGTAACAAGACACAAATGAGATTAAATGGCAATAAGGTTATCAGGATGTTACTTCAAAATGGTTAGATACACTATTGGAAAGCTATTTCGATATTATTTGCATTACGCAATGAGTACTTCACACAAGTCCATTGTCACTCCAGGTGACATACCCTAAATGTTTGATATAAATTCGTGCTCTTTTACCGTGTTTCTATCTGTATTTTGAAGTTAAACGAACGAAAGTGTAAATGATTAACAATATCTTAAAGATTAAAATATCATTTCATACTATCGATAGTGAACCCGAATGGAGGCGTTGAGTTAACAGGCCAACAGTTATTTTCCTTCCAACAAAGATAATTGTTCTCTTTAGCCAGGTTATATCTGCAGGGAGCTGTGCGCCTCATTGAAAAGCGGTATATTATCTGATAAATGTGGGTGGTGGGGTAGCCTTGTGGTTAAAGCGTTCGCTCGTCACGCAGAAGATAGGGGGTTCGATTCCTCACATGGGTACAATATGTGAAGGTCATTTCTGGTGTCCCCCTCCGTGACATATTGCTGAAAGCGGCGTAAATTTAAGCGCACTCACTCTGACATATGTATCTATACTACTCATCAAAAGTTTAGACTCACTAGTGTAAATGTAGCCACTTATTTCAGTCAACTGTTCTAAACTAGATTTTGCAAAATATTCCATACTGTTTAAAGGTACTGTTTACACATGAATGACTGACTGACTTTGGTTTTACGCCGCTTTTAGCAATATTCCAGCAACATCACGGCGGGGGACACCAGAAATGGGCTTCACACATTTGTTTACACATGAACTGATGTCTTGTAAAAACAACTGGTAACGTTGAAAAGATTATTGTCATGAGTTCAATAAATGGTGAAACTCAGTGAAAATTGGCGAATTTTTAACAAAACTCAACACCAAAACGCAGTTGTTTACATGCACGATATTTGCACATGCTTTTCAGCAATTTGATGCATGATCCTCGTGCAACCCATCTGCATAAGGTTTGCAGTTGGTTCCCCCAAGTTGTAGAGAAATTCATCTTCGATGTAACCATACACACGCACGCACGCACGCACGCACACACACACACACAGAGGCACGCACACACACACACACACACACATAGCATATAGTGAGTTCTTCAAGTGAGTCTAAACTATTGATGGGTAGTATATATAATAGACACGATTTGATCATTAGAAAGAACTCGAGCTTTTGCTTGTTGGTATACACAGTCAGTTATAAACTCAAAATTGACATATTGATATATTTCACTGTGCATTGCTTTGTATTTGGGCTGACAACCCAAACTGGGATCAGCAAATTGAAATGTGATCTAGATAAATGAAACATTGATCGCATACGTGAAGTACAACCGATAGATAGTTCATGCCCTGAAACACCACCATACACCGAATTCAATATACTCCCATATACTCTAGTATTGAATATGCATGTGATCAATAGGCATACGTTCAATATAAATGCATCTATCATTCCTTTTTTCGTTCGAGGCGTTGTCAGCAACAACATACTGACAATACATTGTTTCCCTGACAATCTGGAAATGACACAAGCTACCTACAGGCGATAATGTCCGTTCTGTGAAACTTGTACAGGTAAACCCCCTCCGGACAGTGTCGAACAAAGATCTTTCAGGAGCTGTGGTAAGATTTATCTATCACGTGGTATGCCAGACAGTAATCTATGTATTGCTGCTGTCAACATCTTGTACTAGAGACACACTTGTTTACCTCTCAGACTTGCTTCGTTCCGGGACATGCAGTGGGATTTGTAATACATGGAATTTCTCTTTCTGGACTACGTAAGCATACTGTGATCCAAGTCACGGATTCTCTATTAGGGATATTTTATCGGATTTTTTTACACAGAAACTTACCCTTAAAACTGACTGATCGCTGGGTCGACATTTAAGGAGGCAAACATTGTAATGGTTTGGCAAGGGCATACCTTCATCGATGTGCTTTACTCATCTGCCATGTTGGTGCCATGATGAAGCTGTGCAGGTCTGTTCTCCTTCCACTGCATGTACACAATACACATTGTTTTCCTTTCTGTCTGCAAATATCACGACCACCTACAGGCAACAATCTATTGACATGGGTGGGATTGTGTCTCTTGTCACCACTTTCTTTTTCATTCATGTTTATACTGATGTATATTTACATTATTGGGTGGATTTCGATTTCTCTGCTGTTCACGGGTAATAGGTAATAGTTTCTTCATCGATGATGATGACGAGGATATTGTTGATGATGATGTATATAATAATGCGCCAAATTCACAGCCTAAAGCATCCTCAAAGTGCTATGAACAGTATTTTCCCTGGTCAATGTATCAGTATGCAGCTGGATTGATTTTCTCATCTCCTTGGGGAGCACACAACTCAAGTTGTCTCTAATACTCTGGAGGGTTAACTGTCATCTTACCGGGTACACATTCACTGCTGGGAATATTTCGAACTAAGGAGACACCATATCTCCCACGTGTAATTTAGTGTGGGGCAGGACTGAAGCATTAGAAACTCTCAGGGGTCAAGCTGCCGCAGCCACCACCCAGTGTACAGCTGGATAGTTCTTAAATTACAAATCGTTGTGCCCTTCGGACCTAGCTGATTTCTGTGTGGTATGGTTCATCATTGGTTTGTCCAATATAATTAGGATTTGTACATTTATGTGTGACGAAGTAGCACTGTATACTTAAGGGCTGAACAAGCATTCGAACTGGCAGTGCCAGCAACTAGACTAACGTTTTGTCAGTGGAAACTTCTGTTTTTCAATGTACAATGTATTTGGGGTGGCCTTTTCATGAAATAGTATGGTGTTTCCAAATTAAATTGCCAAACACATAGAGTTTGTTTAATACTATAAAGCAAATGTATTTTTCATTAAAAACTTGTGTTCCACTGGAGATATTGCTTGTGTGAGATCAAACGATTTCTCGTTTTGACAGATTTCGTACAATGCCCTGACATCGTCAATTACATGAGATCACAATGCTTTGACATCATCAATTACATGACTCACAATGTTATGACGTCAAAGACTGATGACATCACAATATTTATGACGTCATAAACTTGATGCCGTCATAATACTTTGACACATCGCTGCACTGCAAATCTAATGATAATGCCGTGTTCAGCGATGTACATTTTTCACTGAAAACCGATGAAGAATGATTTTGTATGATAGATAGAATATCTCCCTCGCGTCTTCTGATATCAAATATATCAACACGAGTTGATAAAGTTGCAAATATCCGAGGCTTTGTTTAAAACTAATAAAGCAAATGTACAGTAAACGGAAATAGAAACAAATTTGTACTAGGACGTCGGTACACGTGTATACATACACGGTTGTTATAAGTACTTCAACTAATATACATCATTCCTATAATAACATTAAAGATGGTAATGTTGTATGTTTAACATCTGTTGCATGCCCCTTTGTGCAACGCTCTTGGTGGGCCCGATCACTGCTTTCCGATAAATACAAGCCCAGCCACACTCCGGCGCATAGACTAACAACTAGTCTCTGAAATGAACATATTTTACTGGAAAAAAATAATAGTAAAACAAAAATATAATGAAAAGGAGCCCTGAGACTTCTTTCATTTTCAGACATGTTGTTTGTCTGGAGTAAGAGGACAGGCAGAAGCAGGAGGTCTTGGCTCAGTGGGGGTCTTGAGGAGTGGTGGGGGGAGGTTCCCCATGAGTTAATATTAAACACTAGTGACAGCTAGAGATCAACTGACAATTACAAGCCATATTCTGGCTTGTGGATTCAGCAGATTGGTACAGACCCTGAAGCTGAGGAAATCTAGACTTGCCACATTTTCTAGACTTGCGTGGGCTTTCTTGGATATATTTGCTTCAGGGTCTGTATGACCAGGGAGACTCTATAAGTTGTAGAGTATCCCTGGTATGACAGACTGTCCGGTGCAGTGATGACTTAGCGTTACTATACTGGCTTGCCGCATGGAACTCTGGGTAGGAGAGTGAACCCCCAGCCGAACCTCACGCACAAGCAATGCGAGCAAAGGGCGGTAACTCTAATATGTCCGGACACACGGGCTGTTTTCTGACAGCTTTAGATTCGTAAGTTGAACTGTCACAGTGTAAAGTCATGTTTTGTAGAAAACGTGCAACTAAAGCCCATCAGGACTCAGCACCACAAGTACAGAGCAGCAATAGGTTGGTAGTTTTGTCGAGGTAAGTGACGACACACCGTCACGCTTGATGTAACAACCCCCCAACCCTAGCCCATTAATCATTGAGATTCACACAATACCAGTGACCACGACAGTGACTTGGCAGATTTTATTTTACGTGTGTCAACGGTAACGTGTCTTCCGCAATATAGGAGTTTACCGGCTTGTGAAATGTACATTACAACTTCATTGAGTCTTTGGTAGACGCACTGGCCGCAGTAGAAGAGGAACTGCCTCGTGAGTGTTGTAATCTGTCAAATATCCTTCACCATTCATGGGCTTGAGTAAGAACGTAGTGAAAACAACACTTCAGATCCAGTCGGCTTCATTCACTTCTTGTTCTTGTTCCAGTGGATGGACTATGTTAAATATCATATATATACTGATTTTTGAAATATGTATCTAGAGTACCAAGCCTTGATATCGATAAATCATTGTTATCTGGGTGTCAAACAGGATACCACGACATGTATCTACCAGCAGGAATTTGTAGCAGTACATAAACTCATTGTTATTGACCTACAATATTGACTCAAAGCATGCACGGGTCAATACACAATTGATTCATTTTCCTTGCGAAACATGGATCAATCAAATATGTTTTTGAGCCCAGCTTATCGGCTGGAGTAGGGCGTTATCACAATTTCTAACACTTCAGCGTAGTTTTCTATTTTAGGGTGGATGTGTGTGTTGAACATACCCGGACATAGATGCAATTTGTTTCTCACACTCACAGAAGGCAGCTGTATACTATACAGTCAGTGTTGTTTGTTTCACAGGACTGAGCAGTTGCCAGGTTATTCTGTATACGTTTTTAGTTTAAGGAAACAGTATGAGGTTTAAGTGTAATTTGAAACCTCTAATACCAGAATAGAGTATTTTTCATCTAGTAGATTTTTCATTTAAGTTTATAAGGTTGTTAAGTGTCATTGACTCCCAACAATTTAACAATTCATCACACTCAGCAGTATTCTGGCTGTTTGATGATAGTCTGTGATTGTTTAAGTCTGGACCAGACAATCCAGTGTTCGATATCATGAGCATCGATCCACACACATTAGGAAACACAGACACAAACCAAAGTCATCAAGCCTGACCGCCTAATCCATTCAGTCACCTCTTATGACTGCGTACTTGTGCTATATTTTTGGTAGCAAGAGGCAGGTCAGTCAACTGGTCATGCAGTCTCTTAGACATTGTTCAGTGCATGTCACAGTGCCCTGACTGTGAGATTCTTTATTCTCCTAGTCTGGTCCAGAGTTGATTATCTATAGGCTCAGACATGACAAAGCTGCAAGACTGCTAACTGAAGCATTAGTGTTTATTTTTCTGATGAATATTTAATCACATCATCAGACACATTTCCTTTGGGGATTCTGGGATAGAACTCGTCCTTAACAACATTTGCTTGTAAGAGCCAGGTAGTAAGTTTCTGTGTTGTTGTTTATTTTACCCAAGTGTGTGATACGCTACTCATAATATCAAGCCCTAGTTTATATAATAATGAACATAAAATGTTTACTAGCCCTGACAGTGAGTGAATACTGTATTATGCCACTTTTAGCAATATTTCAGCAATATCTTTGGAGACGGCAATGACAGTCTTTGCACATAGTAACCATGTAGGGAATTGAATGTGGATCTTTGACGAGTGAACACTTTAACTACTAGGCGACTTCACTGACCCTATCCAAATAGTGACAACGTAAATTCTACTAGCCTTTGGAATGCCTTTAACACAAGACAAACTTAGAAACAGGTGCTAGAACATACTCCTGGCTGAAACATTTACAGGTCGCCATGATAAACTGACATGTTGCAGACTGCGGCTAAGACAACAGTCACTCAGTATCCTTACTCTTACTTGTGACCACCAAGCGAAGGATATTAAAAAAGTACATTCATAATTCAGGTAATAAACATGCCAACTTCCTCCTTGACCCACATTCCTCATTCGTGTATGTTCACAGAAAATGTATTTCCTTAAATATTGAATTGCCTGGAGAGCCATTCAGTGCAACCTGTGATGTACCCTGTTCAAGATTGTTGTAGCAGCTCTTTATGGTGTTCTGGTTAATGGCAACATAGCATGTTGGCATCCAATGTTCCAGATGAACATTTAATTCCGATGTTTATTCCTTGAGATTGTTATCCATATCAGACAAGGGACAGAATTTAATAGCATGTCATCATTTCGTTAATCCCACCATTATTGCTTGGATCAAAGCTTGTTCAGGTATTACGTTGTATTAGAAGGTGAGAACTAGGTTGAATAAAATTCTAATAATTAATTTTGTATGTAAACCTGAATTTGATTATACGTTGTCTTCATGGGCACTGTAGGAATTTGCAACAAATTATGTTGTATTAATCATTGTGTTGTACAATTTGTATTGATTTTGTCATATATTTTATTGTTGACGCTTTACATACATCCATCCTCTTTAATGCAGGGTATGATAAGTAATGATAAGTGCACCAGATCCATTCACCACCCAAGCCTCATACAAGCCAGTTCTTGATTTATAGTAGTTTACAAGGATATTATTAATTATACTTAGGTGAGTCCTTTTGCTACAAGAAAATTCCAGTTGTATTTGAGATGAACAGGACAATTTGGGTATTGTAGAAACCTAAATGCCTGGGCCTCCTTTCACAAAGCACTAAGGTGATTGTAAGTCACTAAGGTAACCTTAGTGCAATGTTAAAGAATGGGAGTTAAGGTTAACCTTAGTAAAGGTTGCTTCGTGAAAGGAGACCCATATCTTTAGAAGTGATGAATGTTTAGTATCGTTCACAGTAATATACACACGTTGTTGATACCACCACCACAAGGTGTTTCTATCTGTTTTAATTTATTTTTATTTTTACACTGTCAGGTAGTAAATCTGAGAATCTATACTAAGAGCAAATGGACCATCAGTACCACAGAATGAAGTACCCTGTGAGTATACAGTGGCTGTCAATGGACGCCTGCAGCACATAACACAGTCATGGCAAGGTGCCAGAATGCACCAGGGATTCATATAGGATTCAAACTTGGTATCTGCAAAAGGCAAATTTAGGAAAAATAAAAATTGTCAGAATATTTTGAATTTCTCATATGTCCATATTACCTTTGTAATACAATAATGCACCACCAAGAATTGAACTTTAAGTCTGCTTTCCTTATAAGGTGTGTTTAATACAAATCACTTTTTCAAAATACAATGTTCATTATCAGCTTATGATTTATAATGGAATTTGAACATATTTAATTCCAGATGAGAAATTTTTCCTGATGTTTTTATGACGTTGTATGCCTTGCCACTGAGAAAGCCTATATTAATCCCCACTATAAACTAAAACTCACTAATCTTAGATACGACACCTGCCATGACCTTTCCCCCCAAAACGTTCCAAAACCTGATTACTGCTGTAATTACACTGCATCTGAAGTCGTCATGTTTTGGGTGACCTTTTCAATTTCTTCTGTAAATGTCTCTTCTCGTTCCATAAGAACTCATCACTATATGGCTGAAATATTGCCGAGGTGACGTTAAATTTTAACTCACTCACTCACCCATAAGAACTAACAGCTTCAGTTTATGTGTTTCAGTTTATGTGTAAAAGTTTCATATTCCCAGATGATAGGAATCTCTCACACACTTTGAGGTGTGTAGGGGTTGGAGATTAGGGGGGCATATTAAAATTAATTAAATTTGTTTTCAGAAATTCAGCTGAATACAAGCTTAGGTCAAACTTTGCTGAAACTAGAACCAATTTATTATAGTTGCAAGGCCATTGTGAACACCCTTCAGTGGTTTTCTTTAAAAATTCAACTGTACTAACTTTCATGTTATCTAGCATTTGCTCACATATGTACTAGGTGTCCCAGTCATCTAAGGAGCCATGGTACAGAGTTGTGTCCCTTAGACAACTCAGAATCCTCTGATCATAGACAGGAGTCTCAGATGTACTAATACGGTTATTTAGTGCGTGACAATTTAACCATATTGATCGGGTGTTCTCCTACTTCTTGTCAGCAATATCTATGCTTTGTGTTTATTGATGCAACAGACTCTCTCTGCATATCCTGTGCATGTCCCAGTTTAATATTTAATACAGAATCTGCAAATAGAGACGAAATGTCCTACCAGGTAGATAAAAATCTGTCCTAACCATTATTAAGTAGTTGTACAGCTAGAATTTAGTAGACAGCTGACAGCACGAGGATTACCATGCTTACAGTGTCAAGCCTGTTAGAAAATATAGGTGTATCTTGTTCTTTATTTAATGTCATTCTTATGAAATATCAGGTTTTATTTATTACTGCTGTTAAACATGACAAAGGAGAGTATAGTTGTTTCCTGATCTGAAACTAACTTGTGATGTCTGTGTAAGTGACTAACTCACTAACTCACTCTCTCACATCCAAGAAACCAGTTATAATGCTTTTGAATCCCATGCTGATAGGTTTTACAAAAGCTATAAATTTCTCTGACCTTCATCATGCCGAATATATTAATTAGCTGGAGCCATGGTATTAACCAAACTGCTCTGCTCAAGCCCTGCTCAATACTGACTCTTCTTTCACTCAACTCTTGCTCAAATATAGCCTGACTGTTGATGGACTCTGCTCTAGCCAGAAATTAAGCATTGGTCTGGGCTCAATTTGGATATTATTTGCTTATTATTTTAATGATGTACCGGTACCGGTATATATTTAAATAACATTTAGTTCTGGCACTGAATGTTAGCCTACCTGTGGTGAGGGGTATTTATATAAGCATGCTATTTCCTGCAAGATGAATCTGGATTTCCTGGTATACAAATCTATCACAGGATAGGAATGTATGTTTTTCATCTTTGCCAAAGGGCACTCGTTACAGAAGTAAAATGTGCTGTTTGTTCAAGATGAAACTCTTTGTACAAACTTCCCAAACTCACGGACTCACTCCTGAACTCCCTCACTCCTGCTCACTCACTCTGTCAGCTGTTTGTAAAATGATATTTACTGAGTTGAAGGATGGATACATTATCCACTTAATCACATACTTCACTTAAACTTCTATAAGTTGCCCGATGGCAGTTGTAATGAAGAGTTTACCCATTCCTTGTCATTGTGATTGACAACACCCTTTCAAGTTCTGAATCACCAGTTTATCATGAATCATGATGTGCATTTATTATGTAAATGTCATAGTATTTTTTCCAGTTTATTTGTGCAATGGGTCCGATACATCAAAAGGTGTTCTTAGATAAAAAAAATATCTCATATCTGAGTGCTCTTTAAGTACAGGGAAATATTTTAACCATTGATATTCTAATACAAGGAATTTGGCATACGTACAGTTTGTTGCTATAGTATTAAAGCATTATTTTAGAGATGTTTCGTATCGTAGTCTGTCTGTCCCAGTACGTCCTGCTTGGGGTGAACAAGTATTTGGGGAGCACATTATCAACCACTGGTGTTTCTGATTCTGATTCAAATATATTTCTTATAGGCTTCACATGCTACCAGGACTGCCATGACTGATTTGTCTTGTCGTATTACTGGACTATATCTTAGCCCAGGTGCGGTATTCATAAAGTGAGTGAGTGAGTTTGGTTCTACGCCGCATTTAGAAATATTCCAGCAATATCACGGCGAGGGACACCAGAAATGGGCTTCACACATTTTGTCCATGTGGGGAATCGAACCCGGGTCTCCGGTGTGACGAGCGAACGCTTTAACAAGTAGGCTACCCCACCAAAGATATTTCCAAAGTCCAAACATAAGTTTTATTTCAGACTTATGTTCTGTTATGAATAACACTCACGCACGCACGCACGCAAACACACACACACACAAGACTCCATTCACTCACTCATTCTGATACAGGGTCAAAATAAGTGTTCAGTACCTTGATTGTCACAAGAGACAGCCGACATATGATAGGGTGTTTACAATGTGTGATCTGATTCTGTGTCATCATATTCTGTGAATATTTTGTCGTGCTGCACAACATGGGTTTGCCTTGTCCAGAATAGATAATGATGATGTAATTTGAATGTTGCTGACGTTGACTTAAATGACATATATTTATTCTTCCTGTGTCTCATTCTCTGTCATAGGGTATGGACAACTATGGCCACCGTCATCGTATCCGCACCCCGAGCAAGCTTATCTACATCGTCGGGGTCATTCTCTTCCTCGGGATCATCCTCACCATCCTCAACATCTACGAGCTGCACAAGATGAAGGAGGATCACAGCATCCTCCACTCTGGACTGATTGTACCAGAGGGGCGTGATGGGAAGGCCGTGTACAAGCAGCCCGTGGTCTGGGTGGCAGCAAAAAGGGTGAGTCAGGAGTATAAGTCAGCCTTTATTCTGGGTGGTGGAGAAGAGGGTGAGTCAGGGGAAGTCAGCCTATGGTCTGGGTCTTGGAGAAGAGGGTGAGTCAGGAGTATAAGTAAGCCTCTATTCTGGGTGGTGGAGAAGAGGGTGAGTCAGGAGTATAAGTCAGCCTCTATTCTGGGTGGTGGAGAAGAGGGTGAGTCAGGAGTATAAGTCAGCCTATAGTCTGGGTGGTGGAGAAGAGGGTGAGTCTGGGGAAGTCAGCCTGTGGTCTGGGTGGCTGGGAAGATGGTGAGTCTGGGTGGCAGGGAAGAGGGGAAGTCAGCCTGTGGTCTAGGTGGCAGGAAAGAGGGTGAGTCTGGGGAAGTCAGCCTGTGGTCTGTTGGGCAGGGAACAGGGTGAGTCAGGGGAAGTCAGCCTGTGGTCTGGTGGGCAGGAATGAGGGTGAGTCAGGGGAAGTCAGCCTGTGGTCTGGGTGGTGGAGAAGAGGGTGAGTCAGGGAAAGTCAGCACGTGGCGTGGGTGGTGGAGAAGAGGGTGAGTCAGGGAAAGTCAGTCTGTGGTCTGGGTGGCGGGGAAGATGGTGAGTCTGGGTGGCAGGGAAGAGGGGAAGTCAGCCTGTGGTCTAGGTGGCAGGAAAGAGGGTGAGTCTGGGGAAGTCAGCCTGTGGTCTGTTGGGCAGGGAACAGGGTGAGTCAGGGGAAGTCAGCCTGTGGTCTGGTGGGCAGGAATGAGGGTGAGTCAGGGGAAGTCAGCCTGTGGTCTGGGTGGTGGAGAAGAGGGTGAGTCAGGGAAAGTCAGCACGTGGCGTGGGTGGTGGAGAAGAGGGTGAGTCAGGGAAAGTCAGTCTGTGGTCTGGGTGGCGAGGAAGATGGTGAGTCTGGGTGGCAGGGAAGAGGAGAAGTCAGCCTGTGGTCTAGGGGGCAGGGAAGAGGGTGAGTCTGGGGAAGTCAGCCTGTGGTCTTGGGGGCAGGAAAGAGGGTGAGTCTGGGGAAGTCAGCCTGTGGTCTGTTGGGCAGGGAACAGGGTGAGTCAGGGGAAGTCAGCCTGTGGTCTGGTGGGCAGGGACCCGTGAAGATCCGGGGTAGAATAGGTCTTCAGCAACCCATGTGCTTGCCATAAAAAGGCGACTATCTTGTCGTAAGAGGCGACTAACGGGATCGGGTGGTCAGTTTCGCTGACTTGGTTGACACATGTCATCGGTTCCCAATTGCGCAGATCGATGCTCATGCTGTTGATCACTGGATTGTCTGGTCCAGACTCGATTATTTACAGACCGCCGCCATATAGCTGGAATATTGCTGAGTGCGGCGTAAAACTAAACTCACTCACTCACTCACTCTGGTGGGCAGGAATGAGGGTGAGTCTGGGGAAGTCAGCCTGTGGTCTTGGGGGCAGGGAACAGGGTGAGTCAGGGGAAGTCCACACACAGTCTGGATGGTGGGGAAGAGGGTGAGTCAGGGGAAGCCAGCCTGTGGTTTGGTGGGCAGGGAACAGGGTGAGTCAGGGGAAGTCCACACACAGTCTGGATGGTGGGGAAGAGGGTGCGTCAGGGGAAATCAGCCTGTGGTCTCAGTTGCAGGGTAGAGGGTGAATCAGGGGAAGTCAGCCCATGGTCTTGGGGGCAGGGAAGAGGAGAAATTCACCCTTGGTCAAGGCTGCTAAATTTGATCCTCCATGAGCACATCATGGTAATAATCATGATAAATGTTTGTTTTCAAAGGGTTTTCATCGTATGTCATGGTTTATTTTGCAAATCCCCTTTATTTGCTTGTTTGGTAAGTTCAACTGTTATCTCTGCAACTGCCTGAAAATCAACAGGAAATGGTGAAGTTCATGGGTATTCAATATATTCCAGCCATGAATGTCCTGTGTTTCAGATTGAGACGGGCTACCTGAAGCACGTATTTAATGTGTTTGAGAGAGTCGGGTATGTGACAGGAAGTCAGGAGTCCGAGTGGGATGTTCTCTGGTCACATGATTACCCATTTATTGCATTCGCCAAATCCTTGTCCAACCTGAAACCACATCAACGGGTTAGTATTGCAACACAAAAAAAGTATGTTTGTATATTTTTGTTTAAATCTTTTAAAGATTTAAGACAGTAATTCTGCTCTTTATTATTCAATTAGAACATTCTTGCTCCCTTCTTTTTGGACAGAGAGGGTAATAAATAAAGAATAATAAATTGAATACATGTACCTATCTTAGGCTATCTTAGGAAAAAAAATGAATATCCTTAAAGCAGCCATTCATTAGTTTCCGCCACAGGCTCATAAAATGGACGAGGGTTAACTTGTAGCCATGATGTAGTTGGGATGTAGCACTGTAGCTGTGTAGCGACAGATTCCGATTCTTCTGTAGCTCTGTGTATCTGTGTCCTCCAGGTGAATCACTTCCCCGGGTCCGGGTACATCACCAACAAGGCCAGCCTCGCCTCCACCAAGATGCAGTTCATCCCACGTGCATTTAAAGTGCCCTACGATAAAGACAAGTTCCGAGCCTATGTAAGTGATTAAGACCAGCAGTGGCCAAAAACTTGGCCCAAACTGAACAACATTCAGGGTTGATGTCAACAGTAGCACTACGTGTTGTGTGTAGATGAAGGCTGTTTTTACTTATTCTGATGATGATGGTGATGGTGATGATGACCTTGCCCTTTGTTTGAAGACAGGAAGAGGGAAACCATTTTTCTGTCATCTGAAAACTAAGCGTGTGAATTACCATTAGAAGAAGAAATTCTTAAATAGAGATGTTGAGTCTTGTCCTGTGTGCAATAACTGGAAGATTTTAATAATGCATATCTATAGAAATGTCAATAATGGTCCTATTTGGGCACATATTAATTATTAAATGCCATGTTCAGTGATGTCTAACAAGAATGAACAATGAATGTGATATTCTCTATTTCTGTCATTGTGGTAGCATCTAACTATGGAGACAATGGTAGTTGTTGACAACTGTTGACAACTGAGTCTAGACCGGACAGTATGGCATGTCTATATTTCCATGCTGCTGCATGATGCCTTAGTGGGCTGTCAATTTTCAGATTAGACTAGACAAGTACAAACAGCTGCACAGACGTGCAGACATGCTATAAAAATGAAGTAATCTTTAATGCCTAAACCACATCTCACCACTGACACATACACATGTATGGCCATCTTTCTCTTGCATGCATGCATGCACACAATAACACATGCACACATAGTCATTGCAGTACATGACCTTTGATCTTGGATAGAATGTCAAACCCATTTCACTTCTGACACCCATGTACTTGTCTTAGGCACACCCCTGTTGCTATGTGACAGCATGATGTGAAGCCGTATTTCGCCTCACCCTGTCTGACACGCAGACACCCATGTACTTGTCTTAGGCACACCCCTGTTGCTATGTGACAGCATGATGTGAAGCCGTATTTCGCCTCACCCTGTCTGACACGCAGACACCCATGTACTTGTCTTAGGCACAGCCCTGTTGCTATGTGACAGCAGTAATCTTGGCATGACGTGAAGCCGTATTTTCGCCTGACCCTGTCTGTTGTTTGTCACCAGGCCAAGGACCACCCTGGTACCAAGTGGGTGCAGAAGAGCAACAACCACCGTGGCATCGAGATCAAGGACATAAAAGGTAGGACCAGCTTGCTGTCTGCAGTGGGAGATGTTTCACCCCTTAGATGTGGTTGTCTAGTTGTTAGTCAGGCTTAGAACTTGCTGTAGCTCTACTTCATTTTGGGTCCAAAAACTCATGACCAAAACAATTTCTTCCTTTTCCGTGTCAAAGACAGTGTATGTTAAAAAAAAAACCACTGGCTCTGGGAATTTTGGGAATTTGTTTTGCTTAAAATATTCAATGTTTTTACTTTTTCAAAGAAAGTATTTTGAATGTTTCAGGGAGTAAAATATTCATTTACATACTGCCTCTTGTCCCAGGTTGTCCAAGAGTAATCTGCATATGAATAAAAGAATGAACTGGTTTGACCCAATGGATTTTCTAACGTTTGAACCCAAACCTGCTTTTGAGGACTTATCCCCCCCAGACTAGAGCATGTGTCAAAATTTGATGAGGTTATAGTTCAATTCAGTTCTTTTGTTGAATGCCTATGATAGTCTCTCACTTTTCAGTTCATATTCTATTGTACCATGTTTACCAATCTGTAAAAAAAACTATTTAATTTAATCCAAACTGAAATTGTTCATGATTTGTAATTCATCAAAGTATGCATCAAAAAGTACACTTGACTTGATTGTGTGTGAAGAAATTAAAGGTAAACACATATATTTTGTCTGTTATCAATTAGAATTATGTAAAATGTCAGGTAAGATTTATCTGGAATGAAGGCAAGGCCTCTGTTTTAATAATGAATAGGTTTTCATTTCCGTGGTGTCTGTGCTGGGTGTTGACATTGCTTGGGTCACAACAAATTAACGGTTTGCCATTCAGAATCTTGTAGTCCTATTTTTCATTGTTGTAAAAGATATCAGTTTTAAGATATGTTTTTCTGATAAGAAACAGAACAGGTTGCTATATTCAAACATCAGTCTTGTTTAGCATTTGTAAAATCGAAAAATAGTATTTTGTTTTAGTTAACACATGCAAAGGGTTCTATATAGCAACATGGTTTTGCTACAAAATAAGTGTTAATATACACTCAGTTTTAAAGATTTAGTGTCATGATACATTCCTTTATTCTCACTTTGGATGGGGAATCACAAGAGCAAGTCATTAGTTTGTTGTGGGCTAAGCATGATGGTGATTATCTCCCCCTGGTGATTATCTCCCCTGGTGTCTGGACTGTCTCCTCTCTTCTCCTGTAGACCTTGACTTGACGCAGGAGGGTACATTTGTACAGGAGTATGTGGCCAAGCCGTTCCTCGTCGATGGAAGGTGAGGACTCAATAACCAACTACTGTTTGGACATGCATCAGATTTTACCATCAGTCATGGTTTTATGAATGATTTCTTCCAGTTGACCAGTCAACGAATACACATGTCAAGCTTTCTTCCCACATGAAGTTGACACACTGTGACATGACTTGAATACTGTTCAAAACAGTTATTAACACAACTTACTCATGATTGGTATATGTGTGTAATTAGCCAGAGATCAAAGTAACATTTGAACATTTTGATACCATTTTTCCTCTACATTCACACTGGATACTGAAAGGTATCTTTGGGTATTTTGTAAGTTTTTCTCCATTTGGTCCAGTCAGGCCAGTATTGTTATACCAATGAGCAGACATTCTTTTAGTTAATTCTGTTTCAGATGGCAATTTTGTTAATACTCTGCTTGTATCTCCGTCATTGTCTACATCAGTCAAATGTTTGTAGTGAAGTACCTAAATAATATCTCAGCTGTTCATTTGCCGTTTACTTTTTTCAGAATTCCAATTTTGATATGTGTTAATAGATTTTAAAGGTCAGTTCTAGAAATCAAGATTTAACAAAAGCAAATACCATAGGTTTCTGTGTATTGTTTGGAGCTACAAAAGGTGCACTTCCACACAGGTAGACTGGGTAATCATGTGGAAATATAGCCTAAGGAATGTCTTGATTCACAAAATAACCTGAGGATTCAGAAGTTGGAAAATGTTTAATCGATTTCAATGATGAGGAGGGGATCAAAATTCCAGTTAATATTATTTACAAGCATGAAATGACATTCACTTCGTACAAAAATGGATTGAAAGTTTCTTCTTCAATCTGTCTGTAAGCACCCTTAGTTCTGAAAGGCATGTCTCAATATCTTTATGAATGCTCTGTGGTACATTTGAAAAAGAAATTCTATCCTTATGTTGCATATTGTGCCAAAAACCCCAGGCTTGAGTCCATCAGAGGAGTTGTGCTGTAAATATCCTTCTGTGTTCCAGAAAGTTTGACATTGGTGTTTACACCATTCTCACCTCCATAGACCCCCTACGACTGTACATCGTGGAAGGGGATGCTCTCTTCAGGTGAGTGTCCCTGTCATCACACAGGTGTGGAGATTGTAGGATCACTTCAGAATAATGCTGATTCTGCTCTTATCAAGAGGTCGAACAAAAATACTTTTTACTGGTAATTATATAATAAAGAATATAGATATATAGGTAATTTTCTGCTTGTGAACATGTTGTTATTATGTTTACATCCTTACCATGCATGGTATTTCAGTTTCTAGAGTCAACAAATCAGAGCAAAAATGCAAAAATGAACATCATTTAAATTTTATTTTAATTGGTTGAACATCTTATTTGATCTTAAGAATCTGGCCTCAATGTAACAATTTCAAACACAATTAGTGTATATTTTTCCCCAACAATCTTATGCCAAATTAGATAGTTGTCAGTAACAGGTGTATATGTTTATTTTGACCTACCTGTAATCATCTGATAGAGCCATATCTGTAACAATAAGTAGAAGCATTCCTTACATGGAAGGACTGATGGGTGTGTGTCTGTGTTCAGGTTCTGTGTGAAAGACTACTACCCCTTTGACTATCACGTCCTGGAGAAGTATGTGGTGAAGGATGACTACACGCCCATGTGGAAGGTACAGTCGGCCTGCTGGCTTGTTGCTAGTAACAGTGTCAACGAGCTAGTATGGCAGGAGTTGTTTTGTCTCACAGGAAATATGTTTTACTGAGGAGTGTTTGATATATTTTTTTAACAGTTTAATAAGTCCTACGTTCTTCATAATGCATATGAGATGAAAAAACATATGTCAAAAAAACTTTCAAATTATTCTTTCATGCAGCCTTAGAGGGAGTGTACTCGAGGATATGGTCTTGCAAACTGTGATGTTGAAATGTGTCTGTTTTAGCTGCCATCTCTGAAGAAGCTGTACGATAATATGAACTACTCATTTATCAACACCTTTAATGCCTACCTACAGAAGAAAGGTGAGTGACAGCAAACACCTGATGCCTACTGAAGGTGTCATGTTACAACCACCTGATGCCTACTGAAGGTGTCAGGTTACAATCACCTGATGTCTACTGAAGGTGTCATGTTACAACCATCTGATGCCTACTGAAGGTGTCATGTTACAACAACCTGATGTCTACTGAAGGTGTCATGTTACAACCACCTGATGTCTACTGAAGGTGTCATGTTACAACCACCTGATGTCTACTAAGTGGCCTGTTACAACCACCTGATGCCTACTGATGGTGTCATGTTACAACCACCTGATGCCTACTGAAGGTGTCATGTTACAACCACCTGATATCTACTGAAGGTGTCATGTTACAACCACCTGATGTCTACTGAAGGTGTTATGTTACAACCACCTGATGTCTACTGAAGGTGTTATGTTACAACCACCTGATGTCTACTGAAGGTGTCATGTTACAACCACCTGATGTCTACTGAAGGTGTCATGTTACAACCACCTGATGTCTACTAAGTGGCCTGTTACAACCACCTGATGCCTACTGATGGTGTCATGTTACAACCACCTGATGTCTACTGAAGGTGTCATGTTACAACCACCTGATGTCTACTGAAGGTGTCATGTTACAACCACCTGATATCTACTGAAGGTGTCATGTTACAACCACCTGATGTCTACTGAAGGTGTCATGTTACAACCACCTGATGTCTACTGAAGGTGTCATGTTACAACCACCTGATGTCTACTGAAGGTGTCATGTTACAACCACCTGATATCTACTGAAGGTGTCATGTTACAACCACCTGATATCTACTGAAGGTGTTATGTTACAACCATCTGATGCAGCGTTTCAAATTCCTGTCTGCCCGATCGTCCGGAACGGTCTATTTTCATCTCGGACGGTCAAATTTCAAAAGTAGCCTGTCCGGTTAGGGTTTAGATATTTTTACCCCTAACAGTAAATATTTCATAATATCAGACAGGTTCTCTTGTCATCAGTTTGAGGTGTTTAAGGTATTATGATAGTTATGTTAAACTACTTACGATTGGACAGTTCTTGTTATCATAACAAATTTCAGTTTACCTAAACTCAGTTCATTGCCTGTTAGTGCTATGCAGTTCATTGCGATGCCTACAAACAGTGAATGGAGCTTGCGCGAGTTGGAAATGGCAGTCGCAGTTTTTTTATTGTTGAAAACCAGACAGGCAAGTTTGCATCCGGACTGGTAATTCTTTAAAAAGAATTTTGGGAGTTTTAGACACTCTCTGATGCCCACTGATGGTGTCATGTTACTGTTTAAACCTGTGTGAAACAGTGTCACTCAAATTATCATGTTGCTGTCCACAGTGATGTAAAATGGGGAGTCCAGTAGAAAGGCTGATAATTAATATGTTTGTTTGCAGAGTTTATTATGTCTGTCTATACTACTGATAATGTCCTATTATTTCAGGACTGAACTACAAGAAGGTGTGGGACGATATCCGATCTGCCATACTGACAGTATATAAGGATAAGGAGGCCAAGCTTATTGAAGCCACCAACAAGTACAAGAGTACGAGGTGTGTGTAGTGCGGGTGGCAGCTTCACTGTTAGGTCTATTCCACTTGATTGCAGTACCTGGTCACAATATGATAGTACTTTCAGTTTCTACTGTGAATCTGGGTAGAATTAGAACCTTGATTGATTCTTCACCTGATACTGATTGTAGCTTCTTGTACCTGAGGTTTTTGAGAGGCATATAGAAGTTGGTATTCAAGTATAAGACAAAATACTATGGATGTCAAGGTCTTCATTATTGTATACACAACGTTTCTGGGCTCCTCCTTGCCCCTTCATCATTCACCTGAAAAGGGCAAGGAAAACCCCAGAAATGTTGTGTATGCACAGGGGTGGAAATAACCCATTGCCCGACATCCGAGTCCAGTGTTTTTTTCTGTCAGGCAAGCAAATTTGTATATCAAACTGTACCGGTGTCTAGTTGACTTTCCAATGTTAAATATGTTGCTTATTTTAAAAAATGAACAAGAAAACAACCGGTATAGAGGAAAAGATTATCAGGGCAAGTGATTTTATATGTGCCACTGTACCGGAGTACACTAGCAATATTAAAGTTATTTCCACCCCTGATGCAATAAAGAAGAAGTTGACATCCACAATATTTTATCTTATACTTCTTCTACCTGGTTGATTGTCTGTCACTGTGCCCCAATAACACTGATTGTCTGTCACTGTGCCCCAATAACACTGATTGTCTGTCACTGTGCCCCGATAACACTGATTGTCTGTCACTGTGCCCCGATAACACTGATTGTCTGTCACTGTGCCCCAATAACACTGATTGTCTGTCACTGTGCTCCAATAACACTGATTGTCTGTCACTGTGCCCCAATAACACTGTCTGTCACTGTGCCCTAGTAACACTGATTGTCTGTCACTGTGCCCCAATAACACTGATTGTCTGTCACTGTGCCCCAATAACACTGATTGTCTGTCACTGTGCCCCAATAACACTGATTGTCTGTCACTGTGCCCGATAACACTGATTGTCTGTCACTGTGCCCCAATAACACTGATTGTCTGTCACTGTGCTCCAATAACACTGATTGTCTGTCACTGTGCTCCAATAACACTGATTGTCTGTCACTGTGCCCCAATAACACTGATTGTCTGTCACTGTGCCCCGATAACACTGATTGTCTGTCACTGTGCTCCAATAACACTGATTGTCTGTCACTGTGCTCCAATAACACTGATTGTCTGTCACTGTGCCCCAATAACACTGTCTGTCACTGTGCCCTAGTAACACTGATTGTCTGTCACTGTGCCCATTAACACTGATTGTCTGTCACTGTGCCCCAATAACACTGATTGTCTGTCACTGTGCCCCAATAACACTGATTGTCTGTCACTGTGCTCCAATAACACTGATTGTCTGTCACTGTGCTCCAATAACACTGATTGTCTGTCACTGTGCCCCAATAACACTGATTGTCTGTCACTGTGCCCCGATAACACTGATTGTCTGTCACTGTGCTCCAATAACACTGATTGTCTGTCACTGTGCTCCAATAACACTGATTGTCTGTCACTGTGCCCCAATAACACTGTCTGTCACTGTGCCCTAGTAACACTGATTGTCTGTCACTGTGCCCATTAACACTGATTGTCTGTCACTGTGCCCCAATAACACTGATTGTCTGTCACTGTGCCCTAGTAACACTGATTGTCTGTCACTGTGCCCTAGTAACACTGATTGTCTGTCACTGTGCCCATTAACACTGATTGTCTGTCACTGTGCCCCAATAGCACTGATTGTCTGTCACTGTGCCCAATAACACTCATTGTCTGTCACTGTGCCCCAATAACACTGATTGTCTGTCACTGTGCCCCAGTAACACTGATTGTCTGTCACTGTGCCCCGATAACACTGATTGTCTGTCACTGTGCCCCAATAGCACTGATTGTCTGTCACTGTGCCCAATAACACTCATTGTCTGTCACTGTGCCCCAATAACACTGATTGTCTGTCACTGTGCCCCAGTAACACTGATTGTTTGTCACTGTGCCCCGATAACACTGATTGTCTGTCACTGTGCCCCAATAACACTGATTGTGTCATCTGGTGGTGTAACGATGCCTCAATACAGCACTGTGTTGCGATATCAGGCTAACAATATAATACATCAATTCACAAGAGCATTTGTATCACATCCATATCATGATCATATAAAAAGTGCATGGAATCTTAAGGAAACGTACACTGTTCCCTAGTAATATTAACCAACAATACTATCCATTGTAGTTAGGATAAAGATCTTTCGGAATAATGATTTATGTTTTGCTGCATTCAGTAATGGTTGAAATATTTTCTTCTCATTTTTTGAAGCAACAACATATTTATAGAAGGAATTTTCTTGCAGAAACTTTTTTGAGATGGTGAGATTTGACTTCGTCCTGGATGAAGACTTAAACGTGTATTTGATGGAGGTAAGCAATATAAGTCCTAACCATGCATATGTGGTATAGTTGTCCTGTCCTCAAGATTTTCTCTGCCACTGAACTAGAACTGAGTTTGTTTGTAATGGCTCAATCATGAGCGACAGTTTTTAACTCATTGTGAATATTTTTAATATGGACCCATTGTCAATTTTCTAAGTGCCTTAACTCAAATATGGTTTTAGTTTAAACTGAAACTGACATGACTTGTTTCCAGGCCAACATGTCCCCGAACCTGTCCTCGCTCCACTTCGCCCAGAACAAGCGTCTGTACGAACATGTCATCTTCAACCTGCTGGGTCTCGTGGGACTCATCCACCCCACATCCAACAACTTCTATACCAGGTAACCATGGTAACAGTCTCTCAGTGCAAATTGTGAAAAATCGTTTGGAGGCAGACATAAAATGCAATATGCAAGCATTATACATAACTCTCATGACACATTTACTATGATAAGTGATACAATTAAGGTGTCCTTTAACTTTTCTGGTAGTATACATGATGGTTAGGCTGAAGTGGTCAGACTTTTGAAAACAGAAACAATATGAAAATGTGAGACTATGACACAAACTGTAACCTTGCTGAATTGTGTGTTTCAGCTCTGATGATGAGCTGGCAATGCAGGTGTCAGACAAGGACATCTCCGTCTTCCCTGATGTGTGCAGCAGTAGCCATTGCCATAACCACTGCAACAACCTGGTAAATAGCCCTCACTGCATTTTAAAGGTCACCATCAAGTACTGTTGAAAGACTTCCAGATCAAAGGTATCATGTGACACATGTATGTTACAATGGAAGTCAGGTTTTGCTCTTTGTACCCATGTGTTTATAGGCATGACTTTGTTGATTTTCTCAGTTAATATACATAGATCTTTCTTGTAACTTGCACAATATAATCAACATAAGATATTCATCCCAGGTGGGGGTCCTGGTTAGACACCATCAACATGTACATGGGTTGTTTGGTACAGACTTGATTGTTTACAAGACTTCATCATAAGGCCGGAACATGTGAAGATCCGGGTTAGAATTGATCTTCAGCAACCCATGCTTGTCGTAAGAGGGACTAATGGGATCGGGTGGTCAGGCTAGATGACTTTGTAGACACATGTCATCATATCCCAATTGCGTGGATCATCATGCTGTTGGTCACTGGATTGTCTGGTCCAGACTCGATTATTTACAGACTGCCGCCATATAGCTGGAATATTTGCTGAGTGTGGTGTTAAACAACTAACCAGCTAGCCAACCAACACAAGGCTGGAATATTGCTATGTGCAGTGTTAAACCACAAAGGTACACACACTTATGATATTGGTGAAATTCATAAATTTACCTAGTACTACTTTATCTGTCTAATCTACAGGAGTGTAAGCTGTGCAGCGAGTGCCTAACAACGGAGTGGCGCCTGCAGCTGAAGCTGGCCTACCTGGAACATGTCCGTCGGGGCAGCTGTAGACGACTCTTTCCGGAGCCAGTGGTATGTCTACTTTTCTGTACAACAAAGATGTTGCTTGAAAATTGGTTTACGCTAAGGTTGTGAAAGAATGTGAGAACATATGCACGGCAACCTTTGCTTGTCTTGGCAAATTAATGTCTGGTCTAGACATGTACAGGCTGATGTCCTGTCACCAGAATGTGAATGTAGTGGTAATCACTAGATTGTCTGGTCTAGACTTGTACAGGCTGGTGTCATGTCACCAGAATGTGAATGCAGTGTTAATCACTAGATTGTCAGGTCTAGACTTGTACAGGCTGATGTCCTGTCACCAGAATGTGAATGGAGTGTTAATCACTAGATTGTCAGGTCTAGACTTGTACAGGCTGGTGTCATGTCACCGGAATGTGAATGCAGTGTTAATCACTAGATTGTCTGATCTAGACTTGTACAGGCTGATGTCCTGTCACCAGAATGTGAATGCAGTGTTAATCACTAGATTGTCTGGTCCAGCCTTGTACAGGCTGGTGTCATGTCACCAGAATGTGAATGCAGTGTTAATCACTAGATTGTCTGGTCCAGCCTTGTACAGGTTGGTGTCATGTCACCAGAATACTAATGCAGTGTTAATCACTAGATTGTCTGGTCCAGCCTTGTACAGGCTGGTGTCATGTCACCGGAATGTGAATGCAGTGTTAATCACTGGTTTGTCTGGTCTAGACTTGTACAGGCTGGTGTCATGTCACCGGAATGTGAATGGAGTGTTAATCACTAGAACGTCTGGTCCAGCCTTGTACAAGCTGGTGTCATGTCGCCGGAATGTGAATGGAGTGTTAATCACTAGATTGTCTAGTCCAGCCTTGTACAGGCTGGTGTCATGTCACCGGAATGTGAATGCAGTGGTAATCAGTGGATTGTCTGGTCCAGCCTTGTACGGGCTGCTGCCAGAATGTGAATTCATTTCAGAAAGTACACCTGACTTTTCCTCGACATTGACATGAGGTCAGGACCTTATGGATGGGGCACATGTTTTACATGTTATAGAGGCTAGGTCCAATCCTTATTGAGGTCAGGTCAGGTCACATCCTGACAGAAATTAAATTTCAATGGCTAGAGGTATCAAATAGAACTAAGGATACCATATGAATGTGATCGAGTGCTGAGTGTATCAATGATAAATATTATGTGATGTTTATTAAACGTAATCTGTTTCATTTTAGAATCAGACGGAAGCCCTACATTGGAAGCCAGGAAAGGAGCCAGCTTCTCGTTCAAAATTAGCAGACAAGAACAAACTGATTTCACTGTGGTTTATGGGAAAATGTCAGATGGATTCAGCATTTTGTAGGTAACCGTAAAGGTGGTACACGGTTGACTATGTGTTCAGTGATCAAGGACAGGTTTGTCCAAGGTCCGAAGAGGTTGAAACCTCTCACATTTGTATTCCTACATGAGGAGATATGAGAGTGTTGTGTTCAAGATATTCTAGATGATATTGTCCCCCCCACATCTAGGGCCTCATTTATGTTTACATGAGGGGGAAAATTCTGCTTAACATTGTGCAGCACACTGATGGAAACGTTAAATGTGGTTGTATTGTTATTAAATACTCAACTTTTGAAAGGAACATTCACAACTTTGGAGCAATACATTTTGAGCCATATTTCTGTATATACAAGGGATTACAATAATATTTGGACCCGTGAAGATCTGGGGTAGAATAGGTCTTCAGCAACCCATGCTTGTCACAAAAGGCGACTGTGCTTGTAGTAAGAGGCAACTAACGGGATCGGGTGGTCAGGCTCGCTGACTTGGTTGACACATGTCATTGGTTCCCAATTGCGCGGATTGATGCTCATGCTGTTGATCACATGATTGTCTGGTCCAGACTCGATTATTTACGGACCACCGCCATATAGCTGGAATATTGCTGAGTGCGGCGTAAACTAAACTCACTCACTCACTCAATAATATTTGATATTTGTTCTGTTATTGACCCACACTGTCAAACAAATACTTGAATGGGTCATACTATCATGTCATATGCTACTGAATTTTATATAAGACAATACTGGCATTTTGATGGGGATATTATGGATGTCTATTTGGGCCCTGATGGACAATACCTGGAGATTTTGTCATGGGAATAGTATTAAACTATCATGTAACCAATAACTTGACTATGATCTACAAAGCATCGTGATGCAATATCATGGCTGTGATATCTTGTATGGAAGCCCACTCTGGGGGATAAATTTCAATATATTGCAGTCCTTGGAAGTGGCATTGTGAAATATGTCAGTATCCTTATCAAGTGTTGAACATCATAATGAGCATACATGATCAAACAAGATCAGCCTCAGATCTATGCTGTAAGCATTACAAAGGAAATATACTCTTTTCTATTCAGGAGTGTTGAATGATGAACGTGACATTACGCCATAAGTCTCTCCTATAATGTTAGAGGTCTGTGTGATCAATGTGAATATATTCTAAACATCAAATGTGCTACCATGGTTTCAGGGTTTGAAATATCTATGCAAATGACTGTTTTCAATTTTGTGAAATTCATCTTTAATACAGTCATGCTCGGTACCAATGTATACCTTGTTTTGGTTTGTGGTACGTTCCAGAACCTGTGGTAAATCCATCCCACGGGTTCATCAGCTGTGTATTTGTCTGTTTCAAACCATTACATTTTAACATTTCTGTAATATCTTAACACTCCTCATGTCAAAGTACACATTGATGTTTTAATCATGTGTAAATGAACCAGAATTTCATTTCAGGATGGCTGACATTGTGATGCAATATTAGTAATTTATTCAGATTACTGTGCCCAGTTTATTCAGATGTGTTTCTATGTGGTGTTCAGATTTGATATACAACATGGCCTTTATGATGCCATCTTAAAAATATTGTTTCAATCACAATTTTGGCATACTGTGTGCTGTTTATAGTTGGCTACCATTGTAATCCTGTTCAACGCTAAATAAGAATACAGTTTGCATGTTATTTACAATTAACATTCTGATTGTGTTGTTAACATGGCCATTGTGGTAGCCATGTTGAAATGTTTATAACCATTTCAAACTTTCTCATAATTTATATGAGATTTGTTTAGTTCTTGGTTTTCTTGAAAGGGTTGATATCTAAGGTATCAAGTATATGTTTTATATGTTTTTGCTTAAATAAAGTTTTTTTCAAGAGTATATATTTGGTGAAGGATGCCCATCTGTCCTCAAGGGTGGAATTCTTCTATTAAACAGACTGTCCTCATGTTTGGTGCATGGCATGAAATACATAAGTTATATTATGATTTTATGTCCTGAATGTCATGGAATATGACATATATTTCATCAAGTAAATTTATATTTCATCAAAGTCTGAAGTGTATATTTTCATACAAAAAAATGTAACTTCTGATTTTCCATGGAACAAATGTTCATATGTGTTATTTATGTATGTTTTTACAGTATATATCTGTACTTAATGATACTCATTAAATGTGCTTTGTGTGTTGTTGAAGATTCAGTTTAATCTTATCTTCTCTCAGAAAGTGTCCTTTGAGGTTTAGGAGCCATGTTGATTTCCATGTCTTTTAGCAATTGTCATGAAGTGTTTCAACAGGTGTTGTGGCCAAATGTCCATGACAGCATCTGGTCTTGTCAAATAATGATATAAATGAAGGCAAAACATAGCTCATCAACATTTGTGGACATCTTAGGTACAAAAACAGTAAATAAATACATCACGCTGCATTTTTACATTCAAAAGATCAACTTGTGCAATAACACATGGAACCATTACATCCTCTTTCGGTGTACCTGACCCATCTCATGTCATGCCTTATTCTGTAATGTCATGAATGTCAGGTTACTTAGCAACAGGAAAAATGAAGTTTGTTCAGAAAATAGTTTAATATTCAACAGCGACATGGCTCATGCTTCGGGTTGATAAGTGAGGATTTATTAAAACAGACAATGCCCTATTCTGTTAATTCATTTGATCATAAAATTCATTAAAGATACTTTAGACTAACAAATCATCAAAATATATATGGTTGAGTTTCCACAGTGTGGATTAAAGAGGTTTCATTTTAGTGTAGTGTTTTTACGGTTACTATTCATGAAAATATGTCCACATTCTGTCTAAACAGACTGTAGGAAACTTATATATATGTAATATACCTTGTATTATGCATTTGTAGAGCACGTAATATCCACCTCAATATCCACCTCACGTTAAATAATAACTCAATTCACTGCTGGGTGAACAGAGACAATATTGAAGAAACTCACAAACATAAGGGAATACTCATAGGTTTGGTTTTTTTGTATCACAAAATAATTTTTTATATTTTAGACTTATGTAGTGAACTTTCCTTATAAATAATTACTTATTTATCAATATTTTATTCATTTTGAGGTTATAATATCATCATGCTTGGTTTCTGTTATCTTCATAGCCACATGGAACTTCCTCGCTTGACTTGGTTACATTGTCATCGGTTCCCATGCGCAGACATCATATCCACCTTCGATTATTTACCCTTAATGTGTTCATCTATGTCTGTTTTATTATGGACTTGTTTTTGGGTATGAAATCTATTGTTTGCAATGTGCTTATTCAACACTTTATCACCTCAAATTAAAAGTATTAGAATAACAGCTCTTACAGTGAAATCAGAAGATAATAACATAATTCCATGTTGGTATGAGTATTTTCTGCACCGGTTAATGTATGTTACAACGGATTTGTTTTCTTTTCATAAATTCACACCTGAATATTTTGAGAAAACTGAATGTGTCTCAAATCTCTCTTTCAGACCTTCTCTGACCGCCTCCGTGGTGTAGTGGTTATTCGTCCGCCCGGAGAGCGGAAGGTCGCGGGTTCGATCCCGACCGCGTCATACCAAAAGACAGTATAATGTGTCTGAGTGGGGTATTCATGCTTCACTGCGGCATGTTATCTCAGTGGGCTAGCACTATAAAACCAGCTTAAGTCTGGGCTAGTACAAGCAGCCGCACATACACACGCATGCACGTCGTCATATGAGCGAAATATTCTCAAGCACGATGTTAAACCCAATTTCACCTCACCTCACCTTTCAGACCTTCTCTATTACGTATGTTATGCATCTAATGAACATTTTCAGTTTCAGTCCATCATTCACAACCTCTGGTTGGTTAAATGATTGTTTCATAATGTCAACCTTGAAATATCGTCATGACTTTCATAGCAGGGTCATGAATCTGTAGATATTTTGTATCCAAATAGTACATGTGTTGAATTTTGACTGACAGGAAAACCGTGAGCTTGAACAACGCTGAGTTCATGTTAAAGGAACTTGGTTGCCATGTGTGATCGAAAGTGACTTTCTGGTAATACATGTACTTGCCTGTCCACTGCCGTTGTCTACAGTTGCATAATGTGTAGGGTATTTTTTCAGAATTTTATATGTCAGAGTGATAGTTCCAACTACTTATATGTCAAATCTTTTTACATGAGAAACATTTACAGTTTTCTTTTCGCATGTTTGACACCGTTGAATATTGTATATATCATCAAATGAAAATATTCCATTTGTAATCTTGTTTTGTGTTATTTCGTTTGATTACCATGTGATGAAGTGCTGTATATACAGTCAAATCCCCATGAGTCGAATCTCTGGGGACCAAGTAATAAATTCGACTTATCGATGTATTCGAGACATAGGTATATCTACGACGGTAGAAAAAAAGATGATCCAGTCCAAATTCCTCCACCTAAGCATATGTTTATCTAATGATTTCCCTATCACTAATAGGGGCACCTTATCAGTTCCAGTCTGATTAGCACAGACAGTGATTTCCGTAAAAAATCACTAATCTGCCTTTTGAACTCACCGTCAAAGGCGGAAAGGTGTGAGCCGCACTGGTTTGTTAATTGGATCAGTTTGCTACACCAATCAACTTCTCATTGACTGACTTCGGCTTATGTATACAAGATTGCTGTTGTTTGAATCGCATGGGACCAAATTTTCTTCTCGAGTCATCGTGTGTATTTATGAGACGAATTCGTGTAACCAGTATTCAAATGATGACAACTATAACAGGGAATGGTCGGGACTGACAGGTACTTCGAGTTATGCATAATGTTCGAGACACCGGCATTCGACTCATCGGGATTTGACTGTATTACCGATGCAACGCGGGGAGTGGAGGTCGGCGTTCAGTCCCTGGCCAAGTCATAGGAAAGAGCATGAAAGATTATACTTGTTACACTGCCCAGTGCTCAGCATTCAGGAGATGAAACAGACAATGGTTGGAGCCAGTTGACCCCCGAGTGGGGAAGTCATGATAAATTGCTGCATGGTATATCAGTGGGCCAGTACCATAGGCATTAATATAGACCAGTACAAGCAGCCGCGACCACACGATCAAGAACATAATTGTAATGAAGTAACTTTGATTTGGTTATTGTTTAATGCTCCAGCTATATGGTGGCAGTCAGTAAATAATCGAATCTGGACTAGACAATCTAGTGATCAACATCATGAGTATTGATCTACACAAGTGGGATACGATGACATGTGTCAACCAGGTCAGCAAGCCTGACCACCCGATCCCGTTAGTCGCCTTTTACGACAAGCATGGGTTGCTGATGACCAATTCTAACCAAGATCTTCACGGGTGAAATAACTTTGAAAGCATTGATGAACCCATTATGTCTCACCCCACCCTACAAAATACTCATGATTTTCATTAAGAAAATTATTCCTAATTTCCACCTTGGGGCGATGGGGTAGCCTAGTGGATAAAGTGTTGGCTTGTCAAGCTGAAGAACCGGGTTTGAGGTTCAGGCTCATAACGCCGACCTTTCGACCAAACTTTACGGTTGAGTGAAATATAAAGGTCGACGTCCTGAGACTAGTTTCATTTTGCCAATTAATAATGGATCACGAGGACAATGTAGGATCAAAGAGTTGTTAGAAGAGGATAATCCGGATTATGCGGATGAGAGCGCACCTAATGAGAAGATGACAACAGATGACAGATTTTTATCAGTTGACAGATTTTAGCATTTTTAATAAATACATCGTAAATTCCTATAGCATACATTTTTTCACAGATTTTAACCTAAATGCAATTTGTGGGATGCTGAATCAGCAAACTGCCTCACGGACAGTGTTCCTTGTTCAAGCTGGTGACAGATGTCATCCAGTCGTCGCTCCAAATCCCTGTATTTTGACTTCTTGGACGGACGATTCTGGCCAGCCGCATACTCGACCAGCTTGTTTTCGTTGTTGGTCTGTTCTCGTGACAGCAACGCGACACAATCTCCAAAATGTTTGGATGAGCCTTGCCGACGTATTTCTTCAGGCGTGAATGCCACCCTTCTAGGTGGATGTTTGTTCTTGGCCCATCTGTGTTGTGGTGGTTCCATTGGGTCATGTGCAGATCTCCCTCCACCCAGAAGTTGGTCATGTAGTTTCCGAGTTGTCGGCAGCGGTCTTCATCAGTCTGTTGCAGTACATATCCAAGATATCCAGTCTCGTTTTCTCTTGCTGACTCTGTACAATAACCCGCCAACAACCAAGTAACGACCGCCGCGAGCTGTAGGGATGAATCTCTGATCGAACTGTGCATTTGCCATAGATATTTATACCAAAGATATGAACAGTGTTCAGTATTGGCACTCTACTAAAGTGTTATTGTAAACTTTTCAATCAAGTATAAGACAAAATATTATGGATGTCAACTTGACTTGACTTGTTGACTTGAAAGTGACATGTGCGACGAGCTCACCTTATCAAAACATCTAGAGTAGATTATCCGCAACGCTAATTAAGCCTAATCAGAACCTAACCTTCAAAGGAAACCGCAGGTCGGCGTCCTGAGACGACACCGGGTTTGATTCCCCACATGGCTTCACTAATTTCCACTTAAATAACATTGTGTTTTAAAAAAAAAGAAGACTTCCTTGGTGCAAAAGTAAACAATTTCCTATGGATTTATGCCAATAGGTTAAATCATTTTAAGAGCGGGCATTATTCTCCTCACAATGTTGGCTGCAGTTAATGATATATGGTAAGTAGTTTCAGAAAAGGTTTAACATTTCATAGGCTTTTCCATCAGTTTGACAGCCCCTGCATGTTATTCACACTGGAGCTGTTTGTAGAATTAATATTCTATGTATGACGTCCTCCAGTTGTTTTCATCGGACCTTGACCATGGTAGGTTTAATTGTCCACATGGTCCATACTAAACTTGAGGGACAAACAGAGTATTTTCAGGACATTTTCAATCACCTTTCATAGGCTTGAAGTAACGCCCTGTAAACTTTACAACAGGGCTCCATGTGAACTCCACATTGATGTCAAAATAACCTCTAAAAATAGGCAGAGTACCAGTTTTACCAATTAGGATCCAGGTTTAGTCTCTTCCTTCATGGGTGCTCACAAATTCATGGAGACAAAATCATTGTAATTATTTCATGAACCACAGAGTAAATAGTAAGTCAGAGGTGCTTAATGACAGTTCAAAGAATATTTTAATACTAGCTTATATCAAAGCCTAGTTTCTGCCCTATATATTTCAATCCTCCTTTTCTCAAGGGGATAGCACAATCTGTTACAGTCATAAGAGTTACAAAATGATGAGGTCGACACCCATATAAATACAAGCACCTCGGTGAATCAACTGAAAACCACTTTGAAAATATTTTGGAATAATTTCATCACATATTTCACAGGTGGTGTCATGGCCATTGCAGCAATGTTTTGTGAACCCAGAAGCTGATTTTGTAAAACTTTCTAACTGGAAAATAGATCTGTGTTATAGTCCTCTTGTATTTTGGCACAAAAAATGTTACGCTTGAAATGGCAAGGAGGAAACAAGGCCTCGAGACTTTGATACTGGTATACCTCTGTGTACATGCCTGTCTAGGAAAGAGTTAGTACCAGATGCAAATAGAAAATTGACAGAGGGGGACAGTCACAAACATGATACTCCACAAATAAGATTTGTCAACAAAAATTAAGCAGTAATCAACACACATACCGGTAGTTGCAAATTAATTACATACTTGGTCTGTGAAGCTGTCTGTAAAATATACAAGAATACGTGGATTGTCTAGTGCACAGTCTTTTCCGGGTGTAGACCTTGGTCGGAAGCACTTATTGGAGTATGGCTTGTATTGCCACAAATGCGGTATATTGAACAGGTGTTTACACACACCAATTGTCCCAAAATACAAAGACCACAACTTGGCTTAATATGGGATTAAAACCAATGACCTTTGGATCCTGAAACAGCTAAGGGGAGCAACTCAACTGATCTAAGAATCAATCTCTGTACTCATCTGAAATAATCTGATGAAAAGACAAAATTTAATTTGGTGAAAAGAATTTATTCGTGTCTTTGTGCTTACAAATCGGAATATGAAACTGGTTAAGCCCATGGCCATTAAAGATATGACTTGCTATGGTTACATGAGTGGTAGAAAGTCAGTGACCCAAGTGTCGGTACTAAACCATAAGAAACGTGAATGACACTTCCAAATTTTACACATTATGATAAAAAATCATTTAGGTTACCAATGTCCCCACTTCCAAACAAACGTATTTCAATATTTTGAAAAAGGTATTTTATCCTTACACTTGGACAGCAATGTTTCATCTAATGATGAAACCGCCCCCGTGGTGTAGTGGTTAGAGCGTCCGCCCGGAGAGCGGAAGGTTGTGGGTTCGATCCCCAACCACGTCATACCAAAAGACGTTAAAATATGGTACTTGTTGGTCCCTGCCTGGCGATCGGCATTAATGGGTACAACAAGGACTGGTCGGCTCGGAGTCAGTATAATGTGTCTGAGTGGGGTATTCATGCTTCACTGCGGCATGGTATCTCAGTGGGCTAGCACTATAAAACCAGCATAAGTCTGGGCTAGTACAAGCAACCGCACATACACATACACACGCATGCACGTCGTCATATGAGCGAAATATTCTCAAGCACGACGTTAAACCCAATTTCACCTGACCTCATCTAATGATGAGTTAGTGAGTTGGGTAAAAGCCATTTTGAACATTATTTCTATTATATATCATGACATGTCCGCTTAATGTCGGGGGGTAGCTTGGAGTGATGTAGGTCTTAAATATTCACCACTTTAGATGGTGGACAAAACCAAGAAACAATCGGGTTGAAACATCAACCAAAATATCCTGGCATGCCAAAGGTACACAACTCTATACAGCCCACTTGTGTGCCTCTGACCACTCAGTAACTGAACCATCAAGTGCCAGCATCCCAAGAATGAGGCCAGTATAAAAAGGTTTTAAATTACTACTCATGAAAAATATGCTGATGTTTACCACGTCAGAAAGGGTTGCCAGACACATAAAGAAATCAGGTCTTGTTTAATCCAATATCTGTGTATCCTGTTACAGCCAGGGGATGCAACTCTCTGTAAGGAATTTGTGAATAGCACCACTAGAGTGCTGGTGTCTACTTTGGAAGATTTCAGTGCAGTTTATATTTTCTTGAGAATCTAATGTTATGACGTTAGAATAATTAAGAATTAATATTTGTTACCAGAATTTTAAACATTCTAGCAAAATAAGCAAACATAAATTAAGCATCAGTTCTAAACTTACAGTAAAAGGGGATGTGTCTTCTTTTAATAAAGCATGGCCAGGGTTTCTTAAAGAGAGGTAGGCACAAGTGTAACCAATAATTTCTTGTGGAATAATGTACAAGTGTATCACGAGCCAGACGAGCAAGTCTTGTGTATCATAAACATAAACAAATAGGAATTTGCAAGATATTTAACAATGTGTATCAGATCATATGGCATTTTATAAAAAGAATAAGTGTATTATAATATATTCCAAAAGGAATGTTCAAATATGATAACTAATTCTAAGGTGTATGACTATTCCATCTGCAAGGAAGCATAAAACACTCCATTTTCTACTTGAACAATAACTGAACACAGGTTGTACAGTAAGAGAACAAAAACTATCACTAACAGAACACGTCACAACCATATCAACACAGTGCGTACAGTAGCAGAGCAGTTTGTCCATTACTGAATCCACCTTGTGTAGTAACAGAACTGTGCATACAGGAACAGAACATAGTTTGTAACAGAATGCGTTAAGTACAGTAGGTAACAGAATACACCCTATAGAGTAAGAGAACACATTGCATACAGTAACAAGCCAGAGTTTGCATCACAACAGAACAGTGTTTACACAGAACCAAGTTCCAGCAATAAAACAACACAGCCTAGAACAGAAAAGTGTGTAATGTAGCAGAACACAGTTCATACAGTAACAGAACACACTTCGTACAGCAACAGAACAGTGTGTAATGTAACAGAACACAGTTCATGCAAAAGAACACAGCCCATGGGGTAACAAAACAGTGTGTAATGTAACAGAACACAGTTCATGCAGTAACAGAACACACTTCGTACAACAACAGAACAGTGTGTAATGTAACAGAACACAGTTCATGCAACAGAACACAGCCCATGGGGTAACAAAACAGTGTGTAATGTAACAGAACACAGTTCATACAGCAATAGAACACGGTTCATGCAGTAACAGAACACACTTTGTACAACAGAACACAGCCCATGGGGTAACAAAACAGTGTGTAATGTAACAGAACACAGTTCATACAGCAATAGAACACGGTTCATGCAGTAACAGAACACACTTTGTACAACAGAACACAGCCCATGGGGTAACAAAACAGTGTGTAATGTAACAGAACACAGTTCATACTGCAACAACATGGTTCATGCAGTAACAGAACACACTTTGTACAACAGAACACAGCCCATGAGGTAACAAAACAATGTGTAATGTAACAGAACACAGTTCATACAGCAACAACATGGTTCATGCAGTTACAGAACACACTTCTTACAACAGAACACAGCCCATGGGGTAACAGAACAGTGTGTAACGTAACAGAACACAGTTCGTACAGTAACAGAACACATATCGTACAACAGAACATAGCTCCTGCAAATACAGAGGCCCCCATCTGGCACAGGGGGAAATCACACAGCATCAAGTATCACAATGAACTGAAAGATTCACCTGGGATAATACTGAGTGAATGTAAAAGTTACAAAATCTAATAAACACAAAGCAAAATGGCTGACAAAACTCCAGCATTAGATATTCAGGAAGAAAATACACTATTCACCAAATAGTTATCCTGAATGTGTCATAGCCATTTGAAATAACTGTGATGCATTCCTAAAGATTAGCAGCCAATCAAATGTAGGGGAGGCAGAGGAAGTGACATCACAACCAATCAAATTACGCTCATTACAGAGGGAAATTCCGTCCTTACAAGGATGGCATTCTACACTAAGAAGATGTTTTAGATGAAAAGTGACACTGGCTCTAAAATTCTTGCTTGCTTCTATTACGCCTGGCCAGTCAGTGTATTTAGTCTGTTGCTTCTGACGCACAGACTGAAATTTAAAGCAAATGTTCTATTATTTGCCAGTTAGTGTAATGCTTACATGTTTTTCCATGGTCCGATCATAGTCCTAAAGGTAGTTTAAGCAAGGATTCACTGTAGTCCACAAGAAGCAATGAATACAACCTTCAAACCCTATCATTTCAGTGGCTGGCTATTTAAAGATATGGCTTTCATGTACACAAATGGCCATGGAACATTCAGGGTGCATGGACATCAATGTGGTTTATACATTACAAGAACGAATGAAGATGGCAAAAACCATCAGCTCTTTGAAAATATACACAATTATTAAACCAACAAACAAATTAAAAGAGGGTACATGTGTAATGATGTTCAAATATTCAACTTTCAATATTCAAAGTTCAGAAAATTTAATTCTTAGGATTAAAGGACACATGTAGGAACAATGCATACCATTCTCTAGTGAAGCATCGTAAAGTACTCTTATGAAAAGGAGTTATCTAAAGGCCAATCACGCAATGCCAACATTATTACACAACGACGAAGTCATTGAAAGCAGGGGCACAAATGTTAACATGGCTGAAACAGAAACACTCAAGTATTGTTGTCTAAATCTACTAACAACACAGTGTTCATGAGCATTGTTAGGACATTTCCAATTTTCAAAATAATTCAACAAATCACATAAACCTGAAATCTGATGAAAGCAACTTTTAAAAGCCTTTTTACCATTTCAGGAGTTATTAAGTGAATGAGTTTGGTTTAAAGTCGAGTTTAACAACATAACTATCATATGGTGGAAGGCTTTCAAAGCACAAAGTGATGCTGGGCATGGACGTTTACTGCTTTGGCGATAAACGTTTATCCGCGTGAAATCAAGAAACATAATTGGGTGAACCGACATCCAAACTCCATCCATCATTTCTGATAGCGTCAGAGATGCAAATCTGTACAATTAATTACAGTCACTCTAATGGCAAGACCACTCAAGCCCTTGTTTTAATCTTACAAGAACACTGTACAGTGAATTATATGTCCTACAAATTTAAAACTTGTTAGTTCTTCAGAGATTCACAGACAGCCAAAATTTGAACAAAACAAAAAGATACTTTCACCAGCGTTCTTGTCTTTTGGCATTTTATACCAAGAATAGACCTATAAGAGCAAGTTACATAAAGTGTCAGTGTTTTTATTTTGATAATATTATCCTGTTCATCTACAAGGACAGAACCATACCTCATGTTATTCTCCAATACACACCAATATATATTTAGAGAAAAATTATTTGACATAGGTATATAGAGTGTTCAACTGTGCAATCATCTGTGGAAACTAGTACTAACTAAAAGTGTTTAATCTTCATGCTATTTCACCCAGACAATGAAAAAATGTGGAAATGTCTGCAAGTGTATGGAATGGTATGAATGGCTAAAAATATTGAATGGAATGAAAAATATAATATCAGAAAGTGCATTACTATTTCTAAATATATAATCCAAGTTACAAACCTATTGCTTAGCCTCTAGTAAAATATTCAATGGCAAAATAAATGTATGAAAAGCATGTGGAACAATTTTTATGGATAGACAACTTCTTTAGTGCAACAGATGTGATGTTTCGGTGTAGATGCTAACAACGTTATGAAGCAAGTGAAACGTCTCATCTCTTGTAATAAAGAATTTGTCTATCCATACAAACTGTTCCTCTTCATTAAACCAGCTTCTAAATGCCGTTTAAAGAACAGAGTGCCGTTGTACAAAACAACCTAAGCGCTAAGGCTACCTTAAGCCTATGTTAAGGTATGGGAGTTAGGGTCACCTTAGCGCTAAGATCGCTTTGTACAACAGCAACCTGAAATGTAGGAGACAGCTGATCAGGTCATCTCAAGACTGACGACATCAATGAAATATGTGGTAGGTAGGTTGTAATAACAAAATTGGTAATGCTCTCAAAATGATCATTCTGGGCTTTTAACATTTAATTGCATTGATAGACTTTCAAAGATAAACAAAGACTTTTTGGTATTCTTCATAATATCTTGAATTTGTGTTACATATCTGAGGAGTAAACAAATATAATTCAGTAAAAAAATAATAACTTTATTTCATATTTGATTGAACTGCTTTGGACTAGATATGTAAATTGGTGTATATATAACACCTCACTAATGCCATAACATGGAGTGAAGATTTAACCCATCGTTACAATAAGTTGATACATAATAACACTACACATCATACAAGACCATAATATATTAATTACTACTACCCTGTAGATCCAAGTGTAACACTCTTGAACCATATTTTGGTTCAACTTCTGTAACATGCAGAACACAATTTTCCAGAGCATATTCCAAAACGTTCTGTTCCTTTTTTTCAGAATTTGACATCCATAAATTCCTCCAATTGTTATTTCAGTTGTATCATGTCATGTGTGTAATACAGGAATACATAATGGGACACCAGTTAGGTAGAGTGAGTGAGTATGGTTTTAAGCCGCTTTTAGCAATATTCCAGCAATATCACGGCAGGAGACACCAGAAATGGACTTCACACATTGTACCCATGTGGGGAATCGAACCAAGTTCTCACAAAGAACAATTTGTAGTAACTAAGTTCCAGCACTAGTCAATAAGGACTATTATCTTCGGGTTTTACAAGACTATACTTGCCAGCACAATTGAGTGGTCTCGGACCTACAGGTTAGCATGAATCTCAAAGGATGTGATGCCCCCAAGCACTGGAGTGTGGTGATGACAAGCCAAGGATCAGTATAGCTAGGAACTGGGATTTCCATTCCACAACAAGCAAATCCTGACATGGGTAAGGTACATAACTCTTTTCAGTAAATTGCAGCATCTAAGTCATTCCTGATGACTGGCAAATGGCTGACATTAAAAGTAAGTGTGGCAGACCATTCGAAATGAGACAGATCCAAATCTCCTTACAAATGTTACTTCTAGTATTTATGTTCTAGGGGAAGAGGACATAAACTTTATGTTGAATTAACATTAAGATCTCACCTAGGTTATTATTTCAAAAGAAAACTCAAAAGTGATGGACTATTGGTAAAAATCTGATTGATCATGTTCATTTGAACATGTAAAAAAAATAGGAGACTTTACAACAATGATAGGGTTGGGAAAAAACGTTATGTGGTCATTTGTAATCATAAGGATATTTGCAGCCCTAATGCAAGACTAAAACGTGTGCTGCCTAATTAATATATTATGGCCTTGATGGTTCCCTGAAGACAACACAAAATGCAATCTCTGTATCTGATCACTAAACCTTGGCATAGTCTGTACAGGTCAAGGTGGGGCTAGCTCTAGAGTTCCAATACAAAATGCCGACTCAGACTTGCAAGAACTGGCAATTGGTCTGAGCCTTCCTTCCTCCCCCTAATCAGAGAAATTGTCTTGGACTATTCCGAACTGGAAGCATCTCAATCATTCTCCAAGTATCAAAACGCTTCACAACTGTACCATGTCTGATACTGGTAATCCTTGTCACTTGTACCAATATTGATATGTTGACATGACGACCATATGACTAATGTAGTTTTAATGGAAGAAAAACCTGTCAGTGATCAAATGTTAAAGAGTAAGTTTTATTGCAATTTAACACAAAATATAAAGATCTTGATGATGAACATTTTGAACAAAAGTATCAGTATGTTTCATATATCTGAAATTGTCCATTCACTAAAACATATAGATCACAACCGGTGAAATAAATAATTTGTTGATGTAATTATCTTAAATCATAAATCCACACAAAATACAAAAGTTTATCATTCATTGTCAAAAGGACAGTTATGATCATGATGATGATGGAAAATGGAAAAACAGAACATGTATGGCACTCTTTCTATCCTTCCTCTAATGGCAATTGAACATGGATGAGATGCTATTTACTGCACAACAAATAACTGGCACTTGCAATAGCTCATGACAGTCAAGCACTTTTCTACAAATGTGATACGAACAATGAGACAAAAGTAGAAAAATATTGCAAAAAATACAAAACCCCTCAAATCTGCAAGAACAAAAGGAAAAAGGAGACTCCATGTGAGACACACTGACTGTGGAACAGTATTCCACTGTGGGATATTACAGGCAAAGCATACAAACATTACAACATGTTGATGGATTCAGTGGTGATAAAGTATATATTAGACCCTGTCTTAAGGAGCTCTCTGATAGAGCAAACACAGTCTTGGTACTTGAAGGATTCATAAAATATACATCTATTGAACATGAGATTGAAAGCAATACATGCCTCTATCATGTCATCCCCAGACATCAAGTATTGACAGTAGCAATCTAGAAGACCAATGGGATGCTCAAACAATACACCTGTCTTCTGTGAGATACATAAAAGTGTCACAAGCAGAATCAGGTGCACCAGGTTTCACTGGACAGAGAACATTGCTAGCAATTCTATCCAAAATGTAAGTGGACAAAATAACATAAATTGCAGGTCAGGAAATGTGAATACAACTAATCAAAATTGTAGATTGCATTTTGGTTAGAAATGCACAGTTTCGTGTGTCGGTGGTTGTTTTTGGAAATGTGAAAAATTCATGCAACATTTTGAGAGTCAAAGTTGCATCTTCTCAAGTGTAAATTTTTTTTTAAATCTTAGGATTGGGTCGAATTTTTGTCTCGGGCGTAATGAGAAACAAAAATATTTTTATAAATGGCCTAACCAGAAATCCCCATCCATAGAAAGGAAAAGCCTCCTGAGCATGTGCACTGTTCTGAAATCCTAAAGGTTCTGGGAAATCAAGCGTCACTTAACATCTCCAGCCTGGCGGCATCAGGCTCACGTCACCAAACATCATATACAGTAACATGCTCATCACTAACTGTTCTTTTGTCCTCACCACTTGCTGTATATCTCACTTGATATGCCTATAATGGACTAACGATAAAATCAACTACATTAGTGGTGTCTTGGAGTTGACTGTATAGATAGTTTACTGATTCGAAATAACACAGACCCAGGTAAATCCCTGTTAGCTGTAATTAATTTCAATCTTAATTGCAGCTGTACATGTCATAACAAAAAAAATATTCGCAGAAAAAGGTGGGCATGGAAAATCCATTGATTTTCTCAATATTGCATTCAATCGTGATTCAGCGACATCCAGCAGGATAGCTGTCGGTGGTACAAGAGCAGTCACTACAGAGGAATTAATAACATTCCATCTGTCACACAGAAGCAATCCTAATCACTACAACGTTTCCAGTAGACAAATAATGACCACTAATTGGCATACTAGCAACTGAAATGCTGAAATTGAACTCTGATCAATTACACTTTTGAAAACACAAAACATTTGTGTTCATCAAGAATGATTATCAATTTGGAATCCATAACATTTTCTTGTATACATGACACAGATACTGATAAATTCATTATAGTTTCGAACATATAGTGCTGTGCATTGCACTTTAGACCTTAGGAATCAAATGCAAACTTTTATATCTTAAATGCTTGTGTGTTTTTTCTTGAAAGGAAAAATCATTAAAAATACATGTTTCCCTCAAATGTCAGTGTGCAACTATTCCTTTTCACAACAGTCGTATGGCAACACATGCCTCCAAGAAAGTGTGACTGTCAGCACAGCTACAGAAACTGTTGGCAGACAACTTACAGTTTACACAAAGTGACTTTAAGTGACAGTTTACCGGTATTTGCCACAACCTTCTCAGCAGCATCAGTTGAAATCATTACTAGATTAACTGAAAATATGCTGTGACATCAATGTGATACATAACATGTTGAGCATTCCACAAAACACAAAAACATCCTTGTGGTCACAGGACACCAATGTTACAGCTTTCAGGCCAGTCAGCTGTACACATGGACAGGGCATTGTCAAGATGTACAGGTCAACGTCCTCCTCAAAGGTGACATGGAAAGTCAGTCAATAATGTAACGCATGCAAAAATGTGAACCAAGGGTCGCTCAACTCATCTGGACTGAATCATCTGACCCTACACATGCAGCTGTAGTTATAAGGAGTAAAGCTCACTGAGACAATGGACCGACATGAATTACCGTATATTACCGTAGATAAGCCGAATTTTGAGGACCAAAAATAGCAGTCTGTAAAAGGGGTTGGCTTATCTATGGGTTACACTTTCGTCAAACTTTTATTTCAGGGGGTAAGAAAATGACATCGTATCACTTCGCATGAACAAACAAACAAGAGAAGACGACTTTGTCAGTAAAGACATCAAATTTGCAATTAAACATCATTTTGACACTGATTTAAAAGGGTCAAGTCAGGGGTCGGCTTTTCTATGGGGTCGGCTTATCTATGGTAATATACAGTATGTAATTCACAATTCACCCTTAATTATACCATGTGACAATATCAACACTGAAATCTTAAGACAGATGGTACATATCCTAATGAAAAAAATCAACTGTTACTCAACAACCTTCATGGAAATCACATCTGAATGCAAAGAGATTAACATACACAATCGGCTATTCTACAGGCTTCAGAGCAATCTGCAGGATAAGATGATCGTCAACAAGCAGTGGCGAGTCAGGCTGACACAAGTCAGCAACTGTCACCTTCTTGTCCATCTCGGTGTCCGTGGTGTAGCGAGCCTTGGAGAAGTTCTTCTTCCCGGACACAGTGTGGAGGATCTGATCCCGGTCCACTATGGACAAGTAGTACTCGATCGGCCGGGGCTGGTCCAGAATCAGATTGGAGTACAGTACAACTCGGAAGTCATCACACTGGGCTGAGTAACCTTTCCGGTGGACCTTCAGCTCCCATTCCCACGTCTGAGCTGGGAAGGAAGAAGCACGGGTTGAGAATCTGAAACCCACTTCCGCACCTTTGGGACAGGCGGAGTAATGGGAGACCTGAAGACGTTTGTCCCATCGGAGATCTGTGTAGTTTCGTAGCAGGAAGCTGGAAGACATAAATTCCTTGACATTGGCTCGTTTTGTGAGTGGCAGGGCATGGAACTTGTAAGCCAGCATGAAGGCTTTCTGGAACAGCTCTGGATGTTGCTGGTACAGACTACTGGACTCTACTTCACAAAGCTGTTCTGAAGTCATCATTGGGAAGCGGATGTACTCCATCACTTCGGCCAGATTGCTCATCTGGGCCATGCGTTGAGGGTGAGCTTGGGACTGTATCCATTTTACTGTTGCCTCCCACAGCTCAAACTCATCCTTGGCACTGAGGTCAGAGCTTCGGAGAAACTCAATGAGCTGGTCCTTCTCAAGGTTGAGCCACTCTGCTTCCCACTCCTCGGAGCCAATAATCTCGTCCATTTTCTCAGCTAGTGCCCCCACGCATGCAGTGACAAGACGCTGGTGATAGCACTTGGTGGAGTACTGGAACCACACATGGAACACATCCTTCAGCTGGAGCTTCGGGATGATGTACGACACTGCGAATGTGATGCACACATTTCTAAGGTCTTCCACATTGTATTTGTCAGCAAGAATAAGCACTGGGAGAGTGTTGTCGATGTTGAGCTTGATATGGCAACCATAGAGAAACTTCAGAAACCTAGGGACCACAGTGTTACATATACTGTCCTCAACCAACTCCACATCCTGAAATGTTATTGAGAGAACAGTTTAATAAAGCAGTCGGGCATATAGCATATAGATCAAGTAATTTCTGTTGATATGTTTAATGTCAAAATGTGGAGATTATTGATGCATATCTACAAATGTTCTGTGGGTGACTAAAATCCCAGGCTTTTGGCCAGACGAGAAAACACTTGCCCACCCAACTGCCCCAAAGCTGCTCCGGAGAGTAGTCTAGTCAACATACATGGCATATCATCCTTATGTGAGAGGACAGAAGACATGGTATGTAGGTCGTATATGTTTACCTCTCTTCATGAATACTACAAGTGCAAGTAAAGAGCTGTGAGACAAAGTGTCATTATCAGGAGGAACCCAGGTTTTAGAGATTACCAATAGGTACGACGATAAACATGATGAGCAACCAATGGTTTAAGTATTTTCAAGCATGGCAATGTTTACTGCCTGGTAGATCAAGGACTGTGCCACAAAACATTAACCCATATTGATTCAGGTGAGCTAAAAATCTAAATGTCAAAATTAGGAATAACGGTACCAACCTTCTTTACAGAATTCGACCACTCAGAACTGAACATCCTCTCGAAGACATCACTGGCTCTGACTAGGACTATCTTGTGAGCATAGTATCTCTGTCCCGCAACAACCAAATTCACATCACTTAACAAGGAGTTATTGAAAAATTTGCTCTGTTCTGCTAGAGCCTGTCTCTCATTGCCATAACAGTCAATGCCTTCTGGACTTTTCAGCGCCAGCGAAATGGAGGTAGGTGACAGCGCCATGGATTGTGTGTTCGGGGTGAAGGTCACCCGGGCGGAAGATGAGCGTGTGTTGTCGGAGGCAGCATCTGTTGGAGAATCAATCTGAAGATTCTGTAGGTTCGGGGGAGAAGCCATGGATCTTCTCCTGCTGAATAAAAGAAAAAGATCTTTAGTCATCCCACAAGCAAGGAATCCCATCATGTGTTTATAGTACAAATCTTTCACACTTCAAAGGGTTCTGAGGTCTGGTCAGACTGAAACAGGATGCAACTCACAGCAACTTGCTGACCATTAAATAACAACAGATACAACAGTCAACCACTGACACCAGAAATACCAGTAATCCCATTTGGTGAGACTTGGGTGAGCTAAAAAAGCAATCAATATGAAAGGACATAAAGAACGTTATTACACCCAGTTTTTCAATACACTGCACTCAACAATATTCAAGCTATATGGCGTTGATGTCTTTCAGTGGCATTTAGAAGTTGTACATTGATGTCCAAGATATTTTTATGGATTAAACTTCTTTTTAATTTCTCTCACGACGTTTCGAGACCATTCCAGGTCCCTTCATCAGGTGAACTGATTTATATGGCGGTTGTCTGTAAATAATCGAGTTTGGACTAAACAATCCAGTGATCAACAGCATGAGCATCAACTGGGATACCATGACATGTGTCAACCAAGTCAGTGAGCCTGACCACCTGATCCCATTAGTCGCCTCTTACAACAAGCATGGGTTGCTGAAATTCAATGCTATCCTAGATCTTCACAGGGTTTTCAATAATGACTTGGAACTCAACCGTAACATGCTTAAGGAAGACTGCTGTCATGTTGAAAAACACTGTAACCTTTACAAAGAGTCACTTTCCAAACTTTCAAATTAATTATTTGGCTTGATAGATTTATTTAATGCATGCATGCAAATGAATCCACTAAGGTGGAATACAAAAAGAATGCATAGCAGTCCCTCAAGCAAGCTTTGGTTTATCTGAGGTAGTGTGCACCCAGCCACACATCGTTCTTCAACTCCTAAAGCGACCTATGTATAACTCCAGTATAGAATTCATAACAAAGAATACATGAATATTTCCCTGGCTGACATGAATAAACCTTCACCAAATCAAGGCCACACTGTATGAACGTCAGATTCCACCACAGTGTTCATGCAATGTTTGCCCCTTACACTACGATGGCTCATACTCCAATGAAAGTGAAACCCAATTTTAATATTTTTGTATGTCCCTAATTTATACCCTGAAGGATCTTCATAAAGAGTCATATTCAGTACAAGTGACTTTATGTTCACAACAAACAGCTGTTTCACAGAATGAAATAGTTGCTTAAAGGGCCACTGATCCAGAGCGATTAATGTTTCTCGCCAACAGTCTAATTTCGAAACCAAGTTGCAGGCTGGTCGGTACCTGCTCACTCGGCCGTGACGGGCACGGGGACTGGGCTACTGTCCACCTTGGCAGAATTTCTTCAACCTAAACATTAGGAAGGGTGGATGCCCATTATTTGAAAATATCCCTGGTAGTTCTTGTCTGACTGTAACAAAGAATCCCAGCAGTGTAAACATTTTCTGATTTTCATATCGTAAATATATGATGTTTATTACCTATGCTATGATATTAAAAACACACATTTGATGTATTTGAATCCGTAAACTAAACAACCCCACCTTGCCATTGCTAGAAAAATCTGAACATTTACTTAGGTAAATAGGTACGTACAGCAAATGCGTATATGTATTTCTTACGCAACAATGCAGTTCCGTTCGTACGCTCAAAACAGTGTCGGCCTATAAGTTTTTTGTCAGGCAATCAAAACTGCATGCAATACAGTGATTACTAATCCCTTTCTGTACCTCATGTTTGGTGGTAAACCTACACGTTATTTGTCATCATTCACTTGATGGTTAATGAATTTATAACAGGTATAATTAGTGGTAACACCACTCAGATTCCCCGACAAAGGTTCCCATTTGGCATTTCTTGTGTCTGGAGTAAATACTCAACATTATTAATTAAGGTCTGATGTGGCAAATGTATCACATCTTATGTAATATGCGCATGGAAGTGCAGCAAGAGGGATTATCAGTCCCTGTGCCTGTCACGGTCGAGTTACAAAAACAAACATCGATCAAAGGATTAACCGATAACACGCTGATTGAATGATTGCTTTTATCTCGCACAGTGGATTTGTCAAAAGGTAGTGTTTTTGTATGTAGATTTACTAATCTATACTGAATACACGCTGTCGTAAAGTGCCCGTGTAAAAACAACACCCTCCCTTCAAAGGATTAACCGCCAATACATTGATTGATTGCTCATTATTGGCTAACTGAATTACTTTTTTTAAAGAATGGCGGACACCATGCAATTAGTTGCCAGGTGTGCTATCTTAGGTGACCAATCAGACTCTACACCAGTTAAATAACCAAGACTTCAAAATGATCAGAAAGAGACTATTTGTCATTGGGAGTTCCGAAGTGGTTCCTCAGTAAAGTGGAAGTAGGCTGTCAGTGTTTATGTCATTTTAAGAAAAGAGTCCCCTAAAAAACGTACAATCCCAGAATGTGTCATTATCAAAATGAGTTTTGCAGTAATTAGTATGAGCCTGTATAATTGTTAACCTCATACTGTAAAAATTATATCATGTATCATGATGGTATATTGTGTATCTTGATGATCATTATTTGCACAGTTTGTATCATTACAAAGAGTATTTTTGCAAAATCTGAATTACTTGTTGCGCTAAACGGACACACTGGAACATAAAATACATGTCATATTTCATCCAATGATACAGATTATATCAACACGCAGATTGCTGTCTTTTCTAACTTCAAAATGGTATTACTTCAAACATTAACAATGCCTGTATTTCAAACATGAACACAATCAATGCAAAAAAATGAATCAGCTTGCAAAAACTACAAACAATCAAATACAAAAACATTCATGCCCAGCATTACACAGTAACAAATCTCACCCATAGCCAGCTTGACAGGAATGAGCTGCTAGCCCATGTCCGTGACCATTGTAACCTTCGGCAGAGAATATCTGTCGTGTTTGTTAGGTCCATGGCCACTGACGCACAGGTGGAAATCTAGTCGATTTGATTACATCAACACAGTAGAGACCCCACCTGAAGCGAGGTATGGGCTGAATGTCAGGTAAATAGACATTGAATGCGAAGTGACATTACACAGAACGTCCACCAGTAGGGAGTACAATGCCAGACTGGACACACCCACCCAGGAGCGACTTTGTCAACGATAAGCAAACACTGTCTGTCTGTCAAGGGGCCACACCATGGTGATAGGCAAACAGGATCTGTTTCTTCATATCACACACACATAAAAATGTCGATAAAACAATCAAGTCCCTGTCATTGTACTTTGTTGGTAGCTATATAAATTCTATCATTGTTAACTGCAAATAAAATATCAACTGGATATGTTTTGTCTGTTTAATAAACAGAAAAGACACAGTGCAACACATCTGTCACCACGGAAATAACTTCACTGTCCTCTAAATGTCAGCATCGTCTAGACAATTGTTCCCAAAAATCTGAATTGAAGCTTTAAATTTAATATGTATTTGACTGTACCCTTGAATTTATCTCATCAACCCCTGTAAAGAATGACGTGAATGTTTATCTATTTGCAGATAGACATTAGTCGAGGCTTACACATTGATCTTTCTGCTCCCATGGCTAATGTTATTACACTTGCTGCTGTCCTAAACTACACTGTCACTGTCAGAGACTAGATCTAAAATTAGATACCCAAAATAACCGAATCATTTCTGGATGCTTGGATGCGTCGTCCGTTCAAGGCTCAGCTTTATTAAAAACATTCGCTGTCGTCGTTATACGTACCAGTGTAAGTGCTGTTAGTCGACAAAACGCTTTGTGTGACAATATATTAGAGGCATTTTCGTCCATAGGACCAACGAGTCTCAATCTTTGTTTACATCGCTTCCGGATATATTGACTACGCATGCGCGGATATCAGCTGGTTCTGACGTAAACATTTCATTGATAAATTTGTCACGCGCGTCGACACACTCCAGCGCAGTGATGACTTAGCAGGAATTGTTTAGAAATAATCATGTTAACACAGACTATTCAGATATATATGTTAGTAAACCCTATCTATACGCTATAATGGTAACCTTTGAATTCAGTGTTATTTAGATATTGTTTTTGCATAATTATCGTCATATTTACGTGCGTCAATTGACGGCTAAGTGTGTTAAGTACAATTAAATGTTGAAAATACTCGGATGATGGCTTGTTTTTAATATCCGGTTAGAGAGATATTTCACATTTGTCCGCGTGAATGTTTCTTGAGCATCTAAAAACCCTAATACGAGAAAATATCCACTGCGACAGTAAAACAAAACCGAAAGAAAATATTTTACTTGAAAGCATTTCTTTCACAAATTTGAAATAAGGATTTTGTATAATAAATCCCTCGAAATACCATGTTGTGGAACCGAGAATGTTATATATCACTTCATCATATCTATTATTGACACAGGGCTGTGGAGTAGATAAGTGGTTAAAGCGTTCGCTCGTCACGCCGAAGAACCGGGTTCGATTCCCCACATGAATGTGTTTCGCCCATTTCTGGTGTTCCCTGACGTGATATTGATAGAATATTGCTAAAAGCGGCATAAAACCATACTCATTCACTATCACCTCCGATAGAGAAAACAGAAAAACATGAGACTTAAATATTATTGTTCTGCGAGTTAGTTGCACTAACCTTGCATATTGTAAGCTTAGTTGCTTCTTTGAACCACATTCCTGTAGCCTGTCCCTGATCCATTTGTTCTCCTGTCCGCCCATCCCTTACAGTAAAGATTTGTTTGTCGTTTAACTGCAATATGCAGCGACACTCTGTAAATAATTCAGTCTAGGCCAGACAATCCAGTGGTCAACAGCATGAGCATCGATCTACGCTGACATGCGTCAACCAAGTCAGTGAGCCTAACCAACCCGACAGCCTCAGTCGCCTCTTACGAAAAGCATGGGTTGTTGACGACGAATTCTTCACGGGTTTTACCGTACAGTTGTAGTTCTAAATATATTTGTATGTTGTTGATCATGTGATGTAGCCTGCCATCACGTGACGTCAAGGATTCCTGTGATATTGAAAGATTTGCGGATGCCACTTTGTCACCTGCTATTGTTTTTAACACACGCGCGTTTAATAAGCGCAAAAAACTACTTCAGCTATACATAGAACGTCAACATTTGAAATAATGTTATGTAAACGTACCATCCTCGGAATCTCCATGATGTTTCCATGATGACGGTTGTCTATTTTAAACCACACCACTCAAGGACGTCACGCTCTCACAACAATGTTCTCACGTTCATTTCACAGAACAAACTGATGACCTCGGTTTTATCTGATCCCAATCCACACCCTCCAGTCCTGAAGTACATGTGCTAATTACTAGTGATTCTACCACGTGTTTCTCAGTCCCAACACTTCGCCATCCTCATCCCCCACCACGCCCCCTTCCCCTACCTCGGTATATCGGGTGTCGGCCGCCGACTGTCCTTCAAACACTCGCATCCCTGTTATTTATCGGTTACGGTCTGGGATGTTAATTGTCAACACCTACATCTTTGTTTTATGACCTATTTCCCTTCATAGTTATGCAATATTAAGAATAATCCTCAATCAACACGTGTGGAGAGGGTTGTTTGTAGTGCAGACTGCGGTGAAGGCGCGTGGGTGGCGAACTGCACGGGAGGGGGTGGGGTATATCGGACATGTGTCCCTACACCTGGTAGGGTTTAACTCTTTGTGTTGACAGGGGTGTATTGCTCTGTCTCACTGTTCATAAACTGTATTTTATTTTCTGAACAGCAGTTGCTGAAACTCTAGATAACCCTAAATAAAGTCGAGTCTGTCTCTCAGGTCCCAGAGAATTAAAAAATTGGAGACCCACTCAAGTCCAAAATGAAATGGCATGAATTGTTCTGGGTTTCATTTAGATTTGTAAATAAATATATTCATTGTTTGTTTAATAGTTTTAGATAAGAGCAGTTTATTCCTGGGACTAACTGTCAGTCTACCCTAAAAGAAGCAAGTCTCATTTCCACAGGTGCTGAAACTGCAAGATATTTAGTGATTGTTTTAATTAATTTGGGGTTTGTTAGAATGTTGAGATCAGAAGAGTTAGCTTATTGAGGTTCTGTTTTAAAGCATTGGTAAATGGGGTTCTTTGTTTATTATATTTTGAGCAGTTAAAGATTGTGTGGGCTATTGTTTCAGGAATTTGGCAAGTGATACATTTGCCGTTTGGATGAAAGTTGATTTTGTGTAGATAGTGTTGAATTTGGTAGAGTGGATAATGTTTTCCTATTATTTGCCAGTATAAATTGAATGTTAACCGTACACCCTGTACTTCTTTCTATATTTTATATTGTTTATGCTGGAAAAACAATGCTAGGAAGGAAGTAACTCCTTTAGGTTAATGGAAACTCAACAGCATTAAAAAATATGTATAATCATGTTTTGAACATTGTAAAAACAAGCATGCAAACTCTATAATCTTGTTTTGATAAAATTGAACATTTTAGAAACACATTTGGAGAACCCAGTCAACATTAATATTCTGATCAAAGTATTTCTGTACAAACGTGAAAAACATCTCGTTAGTGTATGGGGCAGGTTCATTATATGAGTGGGTAAGACTAGGTTGTAATCCCAGTCACGCCTGATTGATTTGTCTGACTTTTGGGACGTCTAACTGGGGGCTTCATTTCAGTCACATGTAGTTGTTTGTTTGTACCAAACTTATATATCATTCCAGGGACAAGGCGTTTTTTAACGTTACACTGTGTATATTTGCCTTTTGGGGGCAATATGTAGATATCCTGTAAAGACATTTTTTTAAATAAATGGAAACATTATTTTAAACAAATTGAATTATATAAAAGTATGCAAGAAGCATACAAAACAAAATCATACAAAAGTCGTAAGAGGCGACTAACGGGATCGGGTGGTCGGGAGGCTCGCTGACTTGGTTGACATGTCATCGTATCTCAGCTGCGTAGATTGATTCTCATGCTCTTGATCACTGGCTTGTCTGGTCCATAATCGATTATTTACAGGCCGCCACCATATAGCTTAAATATTGTTGGGTGTGGCGTTCAACAACAAACCAACCATTTTTTGAAAATTTGGTGTAATCGGACACCGAAGTATGACTGCAAGATATATGACAAGAGAGTAAACCGGCGTAAACCCCGTGCCCCCGGTCTTGGACGATCGAGGCATGCTTGTGAGCCGTGCTCGCCCTTTTTTCAAACGTGAAATTTTGATGTGTATTCCTGTTAAGCAACATCTCTGTTTCCATTCCAAAGCGATCACTGGATTGTCTGGTCCACACTCGATTATTTACACACTACCGCCATATAGCTGCAATTAAGCTGAGTGCGGCGTAAAAACTAAACTCACTTTTTGCGGTGTAAAACAAAACTCACTTACTCAATTTAAAAAAGAACGAATTCACACATGTCAAAATATACATTCCATTTTTAATCTTCACTGCCGTCACTGACCTCAGAAACCAGTTACATATCTGTTTTGAAAGGTTCAGGACAATTTGACAATAATGCGTAGAGCGAACTAAAATTAGTGGTCCCTTTAAAAAAGGTCACATGCAACCAAAAAATCAAACATAATTAAAACACAATTATCACTTATTCATGACATATAATATACATTGCTGGTTATGAAAAAACATCTAAACAAAATTATAAGCGTACAATCGCAAATCAAAAGTGCAATATTTTGTACTTGGGTTTACTTCCCAAGAAACGAAGCAGCCGGGATACCGAACCCAGTCAGAGCGGGTGGGTGTGCACTCAAGTGTAACGGCTGGTTTATTTGCAGATGCCCTCACAGCTCATTGTGTGTGTATATATAGAGATGTTGGGTTTTGTAAATACATGCTTATTTTAGTGTATAACATTTTGCAATCAACAGACATCATAACATGTCATGTGTACAAGTATAACACCTGCCTGTCTGTGTAATTACATAATGTGACAGAGACCGAACTCGGGCCATAAATCAATGCGTTTTGTTTATGGTGTATAGCCTGATAGGTGTTAAGTTCAAATTGCATGTGGTCAGTAATCGAAGTTGTGTATTGAATATTGTCATTAGCAGACGGGCAGGCAGACACATAGGTGTCAATAAAACAGAAATTGAGTTTTGTCTGTGACAACGATATATCTATATCACAGTTAGAAATTCTGTCAACGCTAAATAATGACATTGCTTTTAAGTATCGAACTGAGAAAGTGACTCGGTAAGAAGAACGTGTGGTGAAATAGACAAATGAAATTATATAAACAGTTAAATCGGTAATCTACTGTAATAACATATAAAAAGCTCGCCCTCTGAAATATCAACAAAACATTAGAAAAATAGCTCACACCAAAGCCTTCACCGAGTATTCACCGGACAACCCGCTTCCAAGCTGCTCGAACCTATTTCACTGCGCATGTGCTATGAGCGCAGCCCAGCTGTTGAAACCAATTCAATTCCCCCCAAGCGCTGGGGGAAAATTAGTTAATCGTTTGAACTACGATTTCGCGCAGTTTTTTTCATCGCGTTATTTTTCAACTTTATAAGTTGAATTTGCATTTTTGATGATTTGTTTCGGTAGGTCCATACCGAAAGGTATCAGAATCTGCAAAGTTGTGTTTTACGTTGTCCATAACTGTAGTTTACTGTATGTTTCCATTACATCCTGGCTTGTCAGCTTGCACGAGTATAGGGCTAAAACCAAGAATCACTACGAACCGGGATCATACGTTTTAGATGCTCAAGGGCGCAGCTAACTGTTACGGCCCCAACACCCCAATAACAATACAATAGTAGTAACATTATCACAACACCACCACCCACCGCCAGACAGAAAACACTATAACGGTACTGGAGATGGAGTAACTAACCGTTTTGATTGTTTCCATCTTGAAATGCATTAAAGCTAGTCATCCAGCGTTAATTCCAAGTGCTGTTTAATCTCTAAGACAAGCCTCCATATTTGGGGTATCTGTTACTTTATGACGATGACGTCCTTTAAGTGATGATATAGGAACTATGTACGCATCATTCCAGAATACAGATTCTTGGGATTTCTATGAACCATTCTAAATATTGGTGCTATGATTAACCCTCCTTAGTGGATAAAGAAGAGTCAGTTAGTGAGTCAGTTGGGTTTAATGCTGCCTCGAACTATATGTCAGTTATTTCACATCCCAAAGTGATGCTTATCACTTTGAGGAAACCCATGTCTACATGAACGGTGTTTGCAATAGGATCATGGTCAGTGAGAATATTGAATTTGAACCCATGACACGCAAATCCACGCAAATGGCGGCGCCTGTTTCAACTGGCTATGTATGCCAATTATTATGAGCAAACGAGGAACATTCGTCAATGGTATGGTTGTTCAGCTGTTATTAAGTTGGCCAAGAAAGACACATGTCACACAAGACGCCAAAGAATGTCACATCACACATAACAACACAGTCTAAATGCTCTGATGGTCGGATCCTGAAAGTCTGTTGGCTGAAAGTCCGCTAGTGTCAGCGGCCAGATGGTCGTCGATGAGTATGTCCTCAAGGGGCTGATTGACCGTCTCCTTCAACAGGAAGGGAATGACAGCGTTGGCAGCTACTAGGATCCCAATGACAGTGTATGGCAGCACAAGGTTTTGTTCGGTCTGTGGGGAAATCAAAATAAGGATGAATAATGACTCACCATAACCAGGTATATAGGGTATTGTTGCTCAGTTTCAGTATCATGAATACTGTATATAGGTTAATGTCCGTCTCTTTGTCACATTACATTAACTGTGGAACGCAATAGAGCAGTGGTAAGGCATCTGCCTATCATACTGAAGGCCTGGGTTCGATCCCCGGTGGAGGCACCTACGTTCGGGTCCCGAGGTGGGCACATTTGAGTAGTATCCTTGGACAAGATACTTAGATCCACATTGTCTCAGTTCACCCAGCTGTAAAAGGGGTACCCGTGAGGATGTGCTGGCAATGTGAGTGTTTAGTTTATTGCGCCTAACAGGCAGCATGGCTGTATGATTCCCAGGGAGTTGAAAAGGTATCGGAAAGTACGATAGTGTCCTATGACCGGGGATAGTAATGTACGTAGCGCCGTGAGTGGGCAATGTGCCTGGATATGAGAGCCATATAAGCCAACTACTATTATAACCATTACCTCTTTTTCAGTCCAAAACGCTTACAGTTCTGAGAACACGTCCACAAGAGGTCGATTCAATGATATTCTAATCGGTGAAAGTTCGCATTTTAAGACGCGTGAAGATCCGGGTTAGAATTGGTCTTCAGTAACCCATGCTTGTAGCATGAGGAGACTAAAGGGATCGGGTGGTTAGGCTCGCTGATTTGGTTGACACATGTCATCGTAGATTGATGCTCATGCTGTTGATCACTGGGTTGTCTGGTCCGGACTCGATTATATACAGACCGCCGCCACATGGCTGGAACATTGCTGAGTTTAACAAGAAACCGACCAACCAATCTTATTCTAGTATGGAACCGATTGCTTCAGTGCTTTTTAATAATCAGTCAAGCATCCTTAAATGTCATGGTTGAATATAAAACCGTCTTAGTTCGTTTTGTGGAACGGTGCCCGGAAGCCCAACAGATAGGAAGTCTCACCATCAGGACCATATAAGGTGCAACGATGCTCCCAACACCGGCTGCAATGTTGCACGCCCCTAATCCAAGAGTTCTGAAAAAGACAGAATATTGTTCATCTTCATCAACAGTTTGCGTCTGTCTGACGTCTGATATAGATGTACCGTAATCGAATGATAGTTTTAAATCTTCATCCAGACATTTGCAAAAGAAACTATGTTATAATGTGTATCATGTAAAGGCGTGACAATTGATACCATAAGACCGTAACTGATTATAGTCTGTTTGCAGTGAAAACGTACCGATGAATTTCAATTTAAACAAAAAAGTAAATAAAATAAAGTGAAATTAAGATCATCATAATTTTACCTTGCCAATTGAACATATAAATCTCAGAAATTTATTCAACTGAGGATAAAAAAGTTGTTTAACAAACGATCATAGATTCAAATCGCTATTATTGGTTGGATTACAGGGGAGTGAGCTCAGTAGTTGAAACAGTGAAACAAATACACGTGCGGTACGTGATGAGCGTTAACTTAGACCAACGGTACATGTTTTCGGTGTTTTATTTAATGTGCATACCCTCTGGTAATACAAACCAATAGGTACGTTTTCACTGCAAACAGACTATAGATTAGCGCGGAAAAGAATGATTATGAATTGTTGATACAATCCCGTTAGCGACACCAAACGCGTACAGTTGCTTTGAATACTAAACTGCAAAATATAGTGTAGTTTTACACTTGAAAATTGTATTTGACTCCCAAATTACAAATGTTATTAAATGTTGTACCATGATGCCGAAACACTGTAAAACTCAAGTCCAAAACATACCTATCGTACCCTTGTCATCTGCATGAACATCAAATAACCTTTTCTTTGTCTCACTTTCACCCATCAATTATGAGTCTACGCTTATGTCAGTTTATAGGTAGTTTAGTTCCTTTTTTATGTCGACGTGTCGGCTTAATGTGAGAATAAAAGCGACAAAACTCTTTCCACGTCCATAAGAACGCTCTAAAAGCAGAGTCGATTGAACAATTCCAACTATGTATCATGATAGTGTTTTGAATCACTAAACGTTTACCACAATAACATCAAAGCCAGAATTCGAACCTTCGAACATAGGTGGGGCGGTGGTCTAGTGGTTAAAGCGTTGGCTCGTCACGCCGAAGACCCGGGTTCGAATCCCCACATGGGTACAATGAGTGAAGCCCATTCTGGTGTCCCCCGCCGTGATATTGCTGGAATATTGCTAAAAGCGGCGTAAAACCAAAAACTCAGTCAGTCAGTCGAACATAGGTTTCTGTCCAAGGGCCGCAACTCATGGTTGTTCCGTGATGATATTTTTATGACCCTAGAAACCAGGTGGCACGAACTTGATTTTCAAGTTAGTGAGTTTAACGTCACCTTTAACAGTGTTCATGCAACATCAAACACTATACCCATAAGGGCACTGATTTATAAACACGATTGACCAAACCTTGTGAACTGATGACATCTTGTAACCAACGAAAAGATTTCAAAGGAAGACTTTTACTCACTGTTTATGATGATGATGGTGGTGATGATGGTGATGATGGTGATGATGATGGTGATCATCAGCATCATCATCATTACTATTAGTGCGGAATCTTTACGAACGTGAATGTTTTTTTGCACAACAGTCAGATACATAATTCAACTGAATCTTGATCAGCCATTATCTGTTGATAGTATATGTAATGGTCCACGGTTGGGCCAATAGCATAAAATGAACCAGGTCACTGATGGTGGAGAACCGATCTCCATTAGAATATGGATCATGCAACACACAAGATATGCTGGGGGCTATTCTAGTCAATTGGATAGGCTGGGCTCCGTCTTTATATAAGGCAAAATTCTGGTGGCAGGAATATCTGAGAACCAATTTACCGAGGATACTGATGCCGTAGCCATGGCGTCATTTAGAGCGGCGGCATGGCCATAACATGATAATGGACATCTTACCTTATCACAGTGGGGTAATGTTCAACAGTGTAGACTTTAAGAGCTGCCCAACCAGCTGTAATCGCCATCTTGGCGGTCAAGGCCATTGCAAAGTTGACCGTCGCCAAACCAGTAACACCTTTAAAAATGAAAACATGATACACACCATGAAGGCATAATGCCATTTTGAATGTGGTCAAATGTAATATATGTTATATTTGGGATACACTATCTCAGTAAAGTACATATTCGAGTATTTTTTTCAGGTTGAGTCCACAAGAACTTCAGAAATAGCAGCGCGGCTTATTGACTGAATTGTGCACTTGGAGTTGGTACACAGCTTCGGAATCCCAGTACAAGTATTTAGGATTATACGGCCATCGAAAATTTTCCGATGTGCCCACCCCCTAAATTATCTTTATATTTAGACATTTGTAAACGTTAGGAGCAGAGCTGTCCATGGTATCATTGTATTTCTCTTTCATTTTATCCACTACTGACCTTAACTGTATCGATGTAAAATCCAAGATGGCCGTCATACATTCCAGTCGTTATGAACACTTCTGAGGATAGTGAAGACTGGATATTCTTTTGCACTGACAGTTATAGTACACATAAAGGGATGACTCCTGTTTTACTAAGCTTGGCACAATAGCTCACAACAGTAGGGATACACTTATCACTACCTGGCTGAAGAACGTCTTGTAAGAACGACGCCAAATCTGACTGACATGGCTGACATGAACATCTTAACATAATCTACATACGCTGTCAATTGCACAAACAAACGATGCAGACAACAAATTCGTCGACTGATGGTACAACACATTATAAATGATTATCCAACCTTAAATTGATGTATCTGCAAAATTGAAAATAGACGCCAAATACAAACTGCAATAAGGCCTAACGTTACAACTTCATACCCAAGATTGATACAGAGCGACAATTGCTGGAGTAGAATGGGCTTCACACTTTGTATCCATATGGAGCATCGAACCGGGGTGCGAACGATCGCGTCACCTGGACCACTAGACCAATCCACCGGCCCTATTTCTTGCTAAACAGAGCACTGATGTTTGGATTTTGAACTTAAGTTTCCAGGAATTCAAAATTTAAATTGTAGTCCAGATTGACATAGAGGGGATATTCATAGTTTCGCTGATCTGACACTGACAATGATCAAATGATTACACCATGTTTCCAACACCACCTCCAGGTGAATGCGATTATGTGTTAGTTTCACCAGCACACTGGCCATGCTCGCGGGTTTCACCAAGGTGTGAAACGTCTGAAGCCTACAACGTAATAGGCGACTAACGGGATCGGGTGGTCAGGCTCGCTGACTTGGTTGACACGTCATCGTATCCCAAATGCGTAGATCGATGCTCATGCTGTTGATCACTGGACTGTTTATTTCAGACTTGACTGTTTACAGAACGCCGCCATATAGCTGGAACATTGCTGAGTGCGGTGTAAACCTAAACTCACTCACTCGGGCTTTCCTCCCACATTTAGTTGACACGCCGTGCCAACTACCTTTCAAAACAGCCGTAAACTCCACTCACTCACCCCAAGCAAATGTGCGCTTGAAGGTCCTAAATTAACTACAAACAATATTCAAAAATGAGATTTGAACATACCTAAACTTTGAGTCCTCAAGACACAATAAGAAGACAGAAAGAACGTTTCACAGGCATCACTTTAACGCAGAATGGGAGAAGCGTCTATCATTGACCACACAGCGCGCTCAACAAAACATCCAACACATTATAATTGATAAGAATTGTTCATCACTCTGGCTCGCGTTGTCTCCAAAGAACGTGCTGCATACACCCTGCGTGGTGCATTATTAATGTTAATAATTAATAATTAATTATTAATGTTAATATTCAATTGAATATAGAAAGTTAGCAAAGCTTTCCATGCATTCCACAAAAAGGCGTCGTATTTGAACAAACATCTGATTCTGATAAGAATATCTTGTATAAACTATGTACTATATGAGTTATTCTGAAAACTGACATTTCAGATAAGGCATTCAAATGTCTACATCTATTCAGATGACCTCCAACCTGAATACGAAACATGAAATTACGATGTTTGCGTTTGATTTAAGCATTAATATTCAAATTGTGTGGGTATTGCTATGGGCTGGAATATGGAATGAAGCATATAGCCCATCAACAATGATACGTGAATATTTGAGATTGTCAATAAAGCATGATTATTATGAGTTACTTGGTGTATGGAGTTATCACGTATACGTTTTACGTGATGGCAGAAGATAAACAGTATCGCAGTATACTGCCAGCATAAATGAATAATGAATGAACCAGCAGCCCGTTGTTCCAGTTTAGTGATGATTTAGGTAAATATCTATACCTGCCGGGCATCCTCAGATGCATCCTGATAACAGGTTCATATACTGAATAAAAAAAGAAACTTCACACTTGGTGAAATGGATTATTTTGAAATGGATAGTGCAAGGTAGTGAATTGTGAGCGATACCATAATGGCGAGATCTAACCTCAGGCACCCGCCCATTTCAACTGTGATGAACCACGCAGGGTGCATGCAGCACGTTCTTTGGAGACAACGCGAGCCAGAGTGATGAACAATTCTCAGCAACGGCTGATTACGCCATGACGATTTATTGATAACTACATCTGGTGTTACATAATATCAAAAGCATTCCGTGAGTGTCGAGGCTACCGTTTGACTGGTTTGAATAATATTTCATTCTGGAAACAATATTGAAGAAATATAGTTCGCTCTACCACCACGTATAGTGTAATAAAGCACACTTTCGCCCTGAACTATTATAGCTAAAGTACGAGGACGTTTTAACGAGTGCTATGAGCGTACTTTCAACGACTGAAAAAATCATTAATGACACAACACATTTTTTAAATCTAGCGTATAAGGTTTTACTTCGGGCCGCCGCTATACAGTGCCAATCACCAAGACTAAACGAGCTCGAACGTCTTTTGTACCTCAAAGTATTGCAATTTTAAACAAATGTTGAATGTCCAGTTTTCTTTTTATTCATTTATTTCTATATAAGAACATATTTATCTGTTTTTATGTTTTTAGTAATGTCATATTTTATGTTGTTATTCATTTGTATTTTTGTCAAGCTCTGTGAACCAAACCGAATTCCTTTTAAGGTAATACAGTATTTTATTACCCACGTGGTCAACGTATGGGTAGTTGCATACTAATCTCGTACGTCACACGAGTGTCGTATCGCGTTGACCTATGTCGTAACGACTTGACACGTATAATTCGTATGTAATCAGACCTCGTGTAGTATTCTCTATGTCTGTTTGTCTGTCTAAGGCGATGACAACTGACATGCATCGTGACGTCGCTTACATTGTGACGTAATGCAAACTTGTTCGATTACGAGGGGGCAGACTAGAATAGCGCAGTGACGCCAATACATTGTGACGCAATGCAAAAAGTGCACATTATCGTTTGATAAAGTACTGTCGGCGTCTTTGATCTTTCACCGAAGCATCTTAGAATTATCATTGTAAACCAAAAGTCACTGTGTTCTTTAATCTGATTGGTTGAAAAACGTGATCAAATGGTATTTGATTCCCGGAAATTCTCTGCGTATTAATACATACAAACATCGCTCACACCATTGTATTGTTACGTCGTCAGCTGTGATGACGTCATTAAAATCATATTGTGACGTAAAGTCCGAATGACGTCACAAATGAGCAGTTCCAGATGCTACCTAAGCTGGTTCCCGGCTCCCTTTGCGCGCGATATGCGAGACGGGGCCCAGCTTAGATGCTACCATGAGAGACAGCCGAAACGGCAAGCTGATGACATTTCACTGCTGTACCCGTACTCGATATCAATGAGAGCAGACACAAAATACGTGTGTGGACCTTTTGGTTTACTTTTGTGTTTACAATGTCGATAAACATCATGTGTTGGCCAATTTGGTCGGTTCCAAATGAATTCCCGTGCTTCAAATACTCAATAACACCCGGAAATTGGCCAACACATGATGTTTATCTCCTAATTCATTCCCTGAACAGTCAACTAAATATTTATATCTCTCTTTGCTATATTGGGGCGCTGGGCTAGCCTAGTGGTTAAAGCGTTGGCTCGTCACGCCGAAGACCCGGGTTCGAATCCCCACATGGGTACAATGTGTGAAGCCCATTTCTGGCGTCCCCCGCCGTGATGTTGCTGGAATATTGCTAAAAGCGGCGTAAAACCAAACTCAGTCAGTCAGTCTCTTTGCTGTAACATTTGTTATATATAAAAAATGTATAACAAATAAAAATCAAGTCTATGGTCATGCTTGAATTCAAGTCTGAAGCGAACTGTTTTTAAAGTGTCACCCACTCACCCTCGGCGGCGCAGACCGCCACGATGAAACACGCCACAGCACACAGCAGGTAGAAACAGAAGCATGTCCATCGACGCCCGATCCTGCAATCAACAATGGAACAACGTTAATCACACGTGAAGATCGGGGTTAGAATTGATCTTCAGTAACCCATGCTTGTCTTAAGACTAACGGGATCGGGTGGTCTGGCTCTCTAACTTGGTTGACAAATGTCATCGTATCATCAGCGAAGATCGATGCTCATGATGTTGATCACTGGATTGTCTAGTCCAGACTCGATTATTTGCTGGAATATTGTTGAGTGCGGCGTTAAACAACAAACAATACCTCGTTAACTCGGACCAAACCGCGTTCATTGTGAAATCAGCCGACAACAAATATGCGGAAAACCAAATACAGAACACGTGGTAATGTCATATTCATCATGTGAACGTGCTCAATATTTACTTCTGGATTCTCAGACAACGAGATTCTTAATTGTACAAGTACTGATAAAGGGGATGTGTAACCAGATTATTTGTTTTCTTAAACTGACCTCATATGTTTACCTAGGAAAGGGATTTTGGAACTTTTTAAGTTTGACCCATACGGGATTCACGGAACAATACATCGATCTACAACTACTGTATCGCAATAAGTACGATTCCTTGCTTTTCAAGTAATATTTGTTATGAGGAAGTGTTATAACTTGTGCAACAGTGTTTAACTGCTTTACACAGTATGGTAGACTCAGTAAAGAGTAGTGGTACGCTTCATTAAGACAGAGTTCTGGAATGTACTAGAGCTCCTCTGATGCACAGAATATTACACAAAGATTTGTCTCAGCAGGGACATTTCTAGCAACTTAGTTTTGTGGTTGTAAGGGGATTTAGTTATTGCCTCTCATCTCACATGACATCTCAGGTCACCTGAAGCATTGTGTGATGACCATCATACCCTCTCTAGGCTTAGTTCTCTCTACTGCTTCATGTATAATCTACGTATTCTATTCTCCCGGATTGCTATAATCACTTCTCTTGTATTATACTGTGTACTGCCGTAGTGATACCCATTGTGCTGAATTTGTATTGATTTGTGAACTTAGTCAATTATAGATATCAATAGGTTTTTCAGATTTATTGTCTTTTAGGAATACGGAATCACGTTAACGTTAACGGGGGCGGTGGTGTCCAAATGAAATCATCCGGATAACCATACTTCCGGATTAACGAATTAAGATGGTATGGTAATGTCACTTTGATTACATACAGGCGTTCTCAGCTGTGCTAGTCCGTTAGGTGAGGTTTCCTTGGGCCGGACTATGGAGGGTGCTCTCACTGTGTGTGAATATGATTACCTGATGTAATTACCTGATTGCGTGGGTATGGTGTGTGCGACGGGGGGCATACCTGTCATTGACGAAGATGATGACAGGGATCCGAGGCAACTCTGCAAGCCCCGACAGCGAGATGTTGAGGTAGATATTTCCGACCAGGTTCCGAGCTCCGAAAGACAGCCCGTAATACACTATACTAGATATGCACCTGGAGGCAGATAACCGAAGACATATAAGGGGCGGGGTAGTGATGGCACTGCAGCACTGAAGCCAGTCGTCCTTCAAACTGGAGCCAGTTACATTATTATTGGGTTAAGATTCATTGTTTTATGACAAATTAGATAGATACGATATACAATAAATTCGGGTCAATTGACCATTAGGGACCGTTCAAAATTTATGGCTCTGTGTGTGTGTGTGTGTGTGTGTGTGTGTGTGTGTGTGTGTGTGTGTGTGTGTGTGTGTGTGTGTGTGTGTGTGTGTGTGTGTGTGTGTGTGTGTGTGTGTGTGTGTGTGTGTGTGTGTGTGTGTGTGTTTGTTGGGGATTTGATGAGGATTTCTATGGAGGAGCATGTACAATGTGTATGACCTCCCCTAAAATTTATGTACAAGGTAAGCGACTACCCCTGCATATCTTGTAACCCCCACCCCCACCCCCAATTAGTGAGTACAAAATTGATGTATATATAGGGGTTCGACCCCCTATATAAACTGCAACTCGCCACTCAGAGAGTTGTTTTATTAAAAGATATGATATGCATGTACACTGATGTCTATAAACACAGACGCAAAATTAAAGTATTTTTGTTATTAATGGTGTTACGTTCCGTAAAATCATACCACATGGTTTGAAATACAGCCATTTTCTTCACCCTTATCAGCGAGGTATATAGGTGAAAAAATGTATATTTCTTCTGAAAGACACGATCTGCCTTCTCTCGTTCAGCCAAATAATGCATCTGGCTGAGGTCCGGCATGTTAATCCGGTTCATCTTAACAATCCGGACAATTGTCTTCTTCGCCTCATCGATACGACCACGTGACAGCTGCCATCGAATGCTCTCCGGGAAAAACCTGAGGATATAAAATCGTGATGGTGAGTAAACCAATAACACGCATTAATTAAACTTGGGGTATATCTTGAGGTAATAATGGCAGATAGCTGAACTGGAAACCACAACTATCCACAGTACCACGTCTTGTTTCTGTTTAGGGACGGTGTGGTAACCTAGTGGTTAAAGGGTTCGCTCGATTCCCCACATGGACACAGTGTGTGAAGCCCATTTCTGGTGTTCCCCGCCGTGACATTGCTGGAATATTGCTACTAAATGCAAACTCACTCACTCATTCTGTTTAGGCATACGCCTTGCACCAATTGGCTTGCTGATGCATTCCACGGTATCTCAGCCATGCAGATCGATGCCCTTGATATCAGTCACTGGATTGTCTGGTTCCGACTAATTTACAGTTCACCATCATACAACTTGGACAGCTGACGGTTGGCAGTTGGATGAGGTCGACGACAACAAACAAACGAACAAACAAGCATTACCTAATCTGGACAATATATATCACACCGTCAGGGTAGGGTGATACATACAATAACGTCACCCACGGGAACTAACGTATCCACCTCAGTAGGATCTGACGTCAACGTCACGATGGTTCTGTCCTGTCATGGAATCATAAAGGGCATTGACAATGTTCGATCGCGGGGCCTTTATCGTTTGTTTGCCATTCTCTGCTGAAATCAGCAGCAACATTTTAGATGTAAGAGAGCGGCCTGTCATTAACGTGAATCAGAGAAACCAGTGACTGGCACCATCAGAAGGGTTCCAATCAGCAGTGAGCGATGGCATGCAAATGTATAATCTCCAGTCACGGGATGGAGTTTGAGCCACGGACCTTCTAACCCGAGGTCGGAAGTCTTGTCCATATGGCCAAAGTGGTCAACCCCGTCAGCAAGGTCAGAATGTCATATGTGGGATGACTTCACGCTTGGCTGCACAAACAACAAAGTTACTGAGTGTGAGCACACTAGTCCAGTCGCCTCTTATAAGCAACATAGGATGTTGGAGATGTAATGTAACCAGGAATCCCCAGGACCTGTACCACTTACCTGTATGTGAACAAGAACGGTGTCTCCAGAGCCGCGATGATGAAACACAAGTATCTGAAATCATGCACAGGCCAAGCCAGGAGACCAAACAAGGCAAACCCTAGCGACCAGAAAGGGAAGCAGGCAACGACAGTCCTCCATCTTGATCGGACGAACTCAACTGCAAGCGGAAAGTAGGTGACGAGGTATCCTCCACAGGCAATGCCGATGAAGAAAGAGCAGACAGAGAACATCTGCCACGATGTCGCAAACCCTGCGATGGTGCAGGAGACGGTGAGTATGAGGAGACACAGGTACAGGGCAATCTTGCGTCCAAATGCATCTGAGATCTGACCAGAAACAATGGCGCCCACCAGGTTGCCGGCCATTTGTATTGACGTCATTGTGGCGGGGATGGCCTGGCTGTCGCAGATGAGGTTCCACTATTGAACATATTGCAGGACAGTTTAGAACGGAGAATCAGTTTCGAGTGTAAATTTTTTCTTCGAATAAGTAGTTAATGAAAGTAAAATTACATGAACAAATACGTTCCAAAACGGTTGAAGAACTGACGTGATATAGTGAAGAAACTTCCCGAAACAACCTGCAACAACCAAAAGTGCCAAACATGATACGACGTCGTGAACGGAAAATATTATTTGTAAAGCAAAGACCACAGAGCATTTCTTAAAATGATTCATACAATAATGTTCAGTTATAAAGACTGACGATTATTTAGCAGCTTAGAATCCCATTTATAGGAGGCTCTAACCCAATCAGACTGCAACCGCCACTCACTTAATAACATAATCTTCGAAAAATATACTGAACCTACCTTACTCACTACTGTTGTCATTATGGGATCAAAATATACATTGTTACACGTTGACTGGTTAGAAGGACAATATTTGTAGGTGTCGTTTTGACAACTGAAGCATGCCTCAGGTGGAGTATTGGTGCCGTTATCTCGGCACCACCAATCTGGCACTTTGCCGGAAAATGACATCATCAGCGTCGCCCAGACAACGGGGATTTCCTGGACGTACATCAACAACAGCATCAGTACCTGGAACCGTCCTGGGTCCCCCAGTTGGTCCACCAGAACCTCATAGGAAGTGCTTGCAGTGCTCATCTGAAACAAGATGAAGACGCTTGCAGTCATCCCTATTCAAGGTGAGCTGTGTTTTAACGTCGCATTCAAGATTATAGCACTGTGTGGAGGTGGTGGTGCATGTGCCTCTGTGTATGTGGTCGAATCCTTCCATGCACTAGTTCCATAGAGCTAGCCTACTGAGATACAGTTACGCAGTTTAATATGTATACCCCACTTAATGTGGGGTCCAGCAGCCTAACAATGATTATTTTATCTTTAACGTCGAATCTAATCGCCGACCTTGACCTTTCCGGACTAACGCTTAGTCCACTAGACCAAAAAGGCGGAACATCGCTGTCCAAGCTATACACGTATCACGTGGTCATACATTTAATGGCCGACCAACACGATCGATACTGTCAGGTTACGATCACAGTCAAATTTAACGTATCATATGTGTACAGTCCCTATCAAATTATACACTGCTTACAGTTTTGCAGCATGTTGGTTTTCCATTTTCATTTGCCAATTTTCTGTATTTTCACAACTGCTGAAATTATTTCCGATTGTTAACCTATAGGGTTAATATAGTTAATCCGGATGGATTCATTTAACAAAATATCGACACATTTAAATGAAGAGGTCCTTTACTAAATGTTCTGATAGTACCCCAATATATACATACCAGTGTTGAAAGTCGGTCATGATTAATTTAGAAGAGATTACACAAAAGAGACCGGAACTACAGTCGATTGTCGATTACTCGAGAAAATACGCTTGCACCGACGTTCATACAGTTTGGCTGTCGCTTTATGAAGGTTCATATTCCAGGTTCATACACAAAGGGAAAGTCAATTCTTAAATAGCATGAATTTAGATCTATATGCGTGTCATCCCAAAGCTCGCTTTGAGCACCCACTTAGTGGTTGGATTTAGCGCTATATAAATTTCCAGTACATGTATTATTATTTTTATGTTTTACAGATTAAAGATAGTATGCAGCAGAGAGGGTTAAGGTGATCCTGGCACAGCCAGGCTGGTAAGGCTCATCATCAGCTCAGGGCCCTCGCCCCTTCTACACGCAGCCCAGACAGCGAATGGGACTTCTCCCAGGAAACACTGCCTAGTCGAACCCACCAAGAACTTTCCGGAGAATATGAAGGCTCCCCAACACTGCAGCCTTCTGCATTACCCAGAGTGTCAGAAGGGCTGTGCTCCCGGCGGAGAACCCGGGCACTCTCCTGATCTGCGCCAAGAGATCAGGAGGTACCAAACCAAGGGCACCGAGAACAATGGGGAGCCTGACGACAGTGTACTTGGGATGCAAGCGAGACATTTCAAAGGCGAGGTCCGCATATTTATCATGCTTTTCCTGAATCTTGCGAATCACGTTGCTGTCAAAAGGGACAGAAAATTCAATGAAATAAATAAATTCATTGGTTTTATCAAAAAAGGACAAGATCAGGTTTGTCGTCAGGAATTCTTCTGAGGCTGTATATGGGCCTATTCCACAGAAGTTTGAAAGCATCATTTTCCATGACGCCCTGGACATGTTCAGGGTCGTACCATGGATGGACCTCGGAGTTAAAGCCACAGGCATGGCGGAGACGGTAGTAAAAGCAACGAGCCATGCCACCATGTCGTTTATATTATTATTTTTATTATTATTATTATCTGCTGACTGTGACGTCATGGCATAATGTCTTTCAAGTGTCATATGCCATATGCGGCTAACTTTGTGTGCTGGCGATTGGATGGGACTCAACCCACAAAAGTACTAGAATTTGTACTTCACTAAGAAAGTGTAATCCCAAATATAACATAGGTTGCTCGTAATGAACTTGTATGTAATCTTTTAAAGAACAAATAAACTTTGGTTTTTTTTACTCTGTTAACTATTACATATGAAAGATTTGTGGTCAGTCTTATGCGGAACACCAAATTCATTCTTTAAAAACTTGTGGTTATTTAGTACCGAGCGATTAAAGTTGCCAAAAAGTCGCCTGATTCACTCTCGCACGCCAACGAAACCACAGCCAGGTTACGTAACTCTGTCGCCAGAGCACTGCAGTGACGTCATATGAGGAACGATTTTCGGTTAGTTGTATAGAAAGTGTGTAGCACGCTCATCATTTTGATGATTTCTCGACATCAACGAAGACATGCCAAATCGTTGCGTTGTCGTCAATTGCTCCTAGACTGACTGACTGAGTTTGGTTTTACGCCGCTTTTAGCAATATTCCAGCAACATCACGGCGGGGGACACCAGAAATGGGCTTCACACATTGTACCCATGTGGGGAATCGAACCCGGGTCTTCGGCGTGACGAGCCAACGCTTTAACCATTAGGCTACCCCACCGCCCCAATTGCTCCTAGAGGTTGGGCGATGGTGTCGCCATGCACAGATTTCCACAGGACCCCGCAGTTCGTGCAAAATGGGTTATGTTTGTGAGTGCGAAGCGAGCGTTGTGGAAGCCTGAAACGATATCTTACTTGTGTTCAGATCGCTTCACGGAAGTTAAAGAATCAAAACTACTTACTAGTCGTAGTAAAATAATATGATTGATGACCATAAAGATTTTCCATGACACAACTTGTAACATAACGATTTCTGCCTCAGAAGCGAGGTTGTGGTCGAAGTAACAATAATACTGTAAGTAGTAATTATATATTGACACCCACCTCGCTGCCACGAGAGAAATTGTTATTATAAGCTATGTCATGCAAAATCCTTTTGGCCATCAATCAAATACATATTTTACTACCAGTAGAAAGTAGTTTTGATTTTGTAACTCGGTGAAAACAAACCTAAATAGCATTTATACTCAGACTGGCGGATGTTCTCGACAGGGCGCCGCCATTTCTTAAAATTGTGAAGTCACGGGCTAAAGTCTGTTAGAATTAATGAGATAATGGTTTGTTTTCATCAAGTTAGAAAATCAAAACTACTTTCTACTCGTAGTTAAATATGTATTTGAATCATAACCAAAAGCATTTTGCATGACACAACTTATAACATAACGATTTCTTCCACGGAAGCGAGGTGGGGGGTCGAAGTGAAAATACTGCGCGATAACTTTCTTGCTACATTCACATGGTTAATGTCCACTCACCAGTATGTAGATACTAGTCAATGTACGTCTTTATATTTGGTCTTATAATCCTAATTAGTTTATTATCATACTTGTATGCATTTTAAAACTAAATAAAAAGCAGACGATCTGCTGATACGTATAGTGCATTTATAACAGGACTGTAATATCTAGACATTTTATAGTTTGCCAATGTGAATCATAATTCGCACACACGCCCTAGTGTATGTCTCATTACACTTCATGGCGAAAACAACAATTCTGTTGAATGCTACGACAAATGAATAAAAACAAAATGCAAATATTAAAATTAAAACAGATTAAATTTATAGGAACAATGTCAGGCTATTACCTTGTTCGAGGAATGTATCTATCAATATCCACAAAAACGAGTGATATGCCATTCATCTGCAGCTGTTCCAAGTAATGTGTCTTTTAACAGTCTAGCATACGGAAAAGTGATATATCGTTTCAGGTATGTCACATTGGTGTATAGTCTCTTTGGTCGGTGTCCTCCCATTTGTGAGAACTCCCAGTTGTGAGACACATTAATTAATGGTTAAGTGCACACAGGTGGTGCTTCCCCATCCCTACTATGAAAGTGGGAACAGACCTGTTGCTGAAGAGTACCCGCAGGAGGCATAGTTCATTAATGAGTTAATTAACACAGAAGACATTGTTCGTTGAAGAGCATTTATTGTTTTCAATAGATACTGAAATACTGAAAAAGATTATCGTGAACTGGTGAAATTAATTTCTCTTTCAAACGATCACGAAGTTACCTACACAAAGTGTTTATTTTTTAAAGCCATTTACCTGAGTAGGTTAATTACTTTATCTTTTAGAGATTCATTAAGTTACCTCCACAAGATTCAGTTTTTTAGCTAATCCATAATTAGCTGGGGTTAATCCATTCTATCAGATAGGGGAGTAAGGTGTGTTTTCTTTGCTAATTACCTACTGCACTGTCTCACAACTAGGAGTTCTCACAAATGGGAGTAGACCCTTTGGTCACCCAAGATAGCACACCTGGCAATTGATTGTATAATGTCCGCCATTCTTTAAAAACGGTACGGTAATTTAGTTAGCCAATAATGAGCAATCAATCACTGTATTGGCGGTTAATCCTTTGAAGGAAGGACGTTGTTTTTACGCAGACACAGACACGACAGAGTGTATTCAGTATAGATTAGTAAATCTACATACATAAACACTACCTTTTGACAAATCCGCTG